CTTGTGCTGGCCAAAGTGAGCGCGTTCGGCTATCGGTAGGTGGTTGCAAACGGCTAAGCAAGCAGCAACGTCACGGGTAAGCCATTGTGAGCAAGTCGCACTGTCAGCTGTGGCGGGAGGGGCGAGAGAGGCTCCAGACGTGTGGTCAAACAACGAAACGCTGTCTCTAGAATCGCTCAGTAGGTACAGCTGTAAGTCGTCGAGCCACGTATCGAATTGGATCGGACGGCCCTCATGATCGAAGGTGAGGACACTAAGAGAAGCCATATCGGGCAGAGCAGGGTGGTGCGCGACCAGCAGGGCAGCACGCAGGCAGGGCGGCTCGCGTGCACTAGGGAAGCGCGCAGGGACGGGCGAGGTGGCGCACGGCGAGGGAAGAGCTGCGCGCGGCCAGGGCAAGGCACTGCAATGGCAGGGCAGGGCGGCGGCCAGCAGGGCGGCGCGCGGGCAGGGCAGGGCGGTGCGGCTGCAAGCAGGGCAGCGCACGGGCAGCATGGCGGCGCGCAGCAGTAGGGCGTCGGCCAGCAGGGCGGCGCGCAGCAGGGCAGTGCGGGCAGTGGTGCGGCTGCCAGCAGGGCGGCGCGCGGGCAGGGCAGGGCGGTGCGCCAGCAGGGCAGCGCACGGGCAGCAAGGCGGTGCGCAGCACCAGGGCGTCGGCCAGCAGGGCAGCGCGCAGTAGGGCGGGCAGCAGCAGGGCTGCGCGGGCAGTAGGGCAGCGCGCAGCAGGGCAGTGTGGGCAGCGGTGCGGCTGCCAGCAGGGCGACGCGCGGGCAGCAGGGTGGCACGCGGGCAGCAGGGCGTCGGGCAGCAGCAGGGCGGCGCTCAGCTGGGCGGGCAGCAGCAGGGCGGCGCGAGCAGCAGGGCGGTGCGGGCAGCAGGGCGGCGCGCGGGCTGGGCAGGGCGACGCACAGGCACGGCAGGGCGACGCGCGGCCAGCAGGGCGGCGCGACTAGTGGGGCAGCGCTATATGGTGGGCCCTAAAGAAAAACGGTCCTGGAACAGGACCTGCTCTAAAACCATGTAAGAATACTGAACGAGAATGAATGCATTGAGCAGAAAGTTGGTACAAGTACTAACCCTTATTGGGTTGTACCCCTTATGGGCTACCCCACTACAGCCTATACTATACAAGTATTATAACATTTTGACACTACCGAGTACGAAATCGAGGAGTCAGAAGACTCGAAGCGACATCAGCAACCGTCAGATTAAGACTGGGACGTGTAGAAACATTCGAAGTGAAATTGGCAGGAACAGGTTTGAAACGGGTTCCCGCCGCACGGTTGAAACTTCGTTATAATGAGGGAATGTACCCCTTAGAGTACATGGCTAGCTATTGTCAAAATATATGTTTGTATGTTTCATTTGGCTGTAGTGGGTTTAGTCCTAGGGTTTAGGGTTTATGGTACACTAATCTTCTCGACATCCTTCTTGTCCCCCTCCCTTTGATCTAGTCCACATCATTTTTTAATATTTCCGTATCACCCCGGATAGAAACGCAGGTGCGCTTATAATAAAACAATGTATTTTAGGGGGGTGCGCTTCTAATTGAGTCATTTTTATAAGCGCATGCGCTTATATGATGACATATACGAAATTATAAATTTAAGACATCAAATTGTATGTTTCACTCTTGCCATTTCAACCGAGTCGAAAATTTTCGCGTCACAAAGCAGAATCGTCTGCAAGCGATTCTCTTCCAGCATACGGGGGCCAAGATGCGACACTCTGCAGTCATGCCAGCACATCGTGACTGGACGCGCAGCCAGTCAGGTCTTTGAGAGTCAAACTCAGCGAAAATGAGATTCCACTCGCTTCAAAATTGAGACTCGCTACCGCTTCGAACATAAATTTTATTTTAAAATTGTACATGCGCTTATAATAACTAACGTTTTTACAGGGGGTGCGCTTATCATTGAGGATCGGCCATAAGCGCATTGCTCCAGATAGAAGCGCATACGCTTATCATAGGCCTGCGCTTCTATCCGGGGTGATACGGTAACATGGTTTCAGAGTAGGTCCCGGTTAGGACCTAGTTCTTTTTTAGGGCCCACCACATTCGTTTCCCTCTGCCCAGCAGACGATTTTCCCCTGCCCGGCCGTTAGTTTCTGCCCTGCCCAGCGCTTTCGTGCTGCCCTGCCCTGCCGTGCCGCGCGCAGCCCGTACAGCCCGCGCGTCACCCGCGAACAGCCCGTACAGCCTCCGCGCCGCCCGCGCACAGCCCGTACAGCCCGCACAAGGCCCGCGCGCAGCCCGTACAGCCCGCGCCAGGCCCTCGCGCAGCTTGTACAGCCCGTTCCAGGCTCGCGCGCAGCCCGTACATCCCACGCCAGGCCCGCACGTAGCCCGTACAGCCCTGCGCGCACCTGCCATGCCCGCACGCCGCTCGCCCGCTGCTCACCCGGCCCGCACGCTGCCTGCTAGCCGCCCGTGCTGCCTGCTCGCTGCTGGCCCGCCGTCACCTGCCCTGCAAGCTGCATTGCTAGCGCTGCCCTGCGCTGCCTACATGCGTCCTGCCTGAGCCACCCGCGCATTGCCCTGCGCTGCCCGCTCACTGCCCTGCTACGCTGCCTGTGCCGCCAGCTAGCACCCCTGGCGCTACGCACTGCCAACTGCTGAGTGCGCTGCCCTGCACGCTGCACTGCCTTGCGCTGCTGCCCTGCCAAGCCGCCGTAAACACTGCCTTGCCCGCTGCCTAGTGCTGCCCTGCCCTGCCTGGCCGCCGCCAACACTGCCTTGCCCGCTGCCCAGCGCTGCCCTGCCCTGCCCTGCCTGGCCACCGCTAGCACTGCCAAGCCGCAGTGGTTGTTTGTTGTTACCGCCATTGCTGCCAGCCAATGCCGCTGCCGCTGCCGGCCGCCGCCGCTGCTGCAGCCGCCCGCTGCCCAGCGCCTGTGCGCACCCTGCTGCCCAACACCTGCGCGCGCCCCGCTGCCCTGCTAGCTACCTGCGCGCACTTGTCCTGCCATGCCCGTGCACATCTCCTAACCGCTGCACTACAAACAGCGCTAGCCCTGCCCCACGAGCGACCTGCACTAGAGCACCCAGTTACTCGCGCTCTTCCCTAGCTGCTCCTTCGCTGCTGCTACTAGCTGCCACTGACTGCCATGGCCACTAACATTGTCCTACGTCAGCGGCAGCCAAGTGTGCAGGATTCTCTCTCGCCGCAACAGCTTCGCGAGTGGGCTATCTGGTGGGGCAGCCCCGGTGGCGGAGCTAGCCGTGCTCGTCGACGGAAGCCACTTTCGCCACAGCAGCGTCATGAGTGGGTGTCAGAATGTATTTGCTGTCTAGCCTGCAGTGGGGTACTCTGTAATGAGTACAACCCAATTTAGGGTGTTGTACTTGTATCCCAACTCTTGCTAGTGAAACCCCTCATTCTCCTTTCCAATCCTCTCGACACTCAATTCTCTCGACACTCAATTCTCTCGACACTCACTAGCCATGGCTCCTAAGTCTAGCTAGTATTCTAACATGGCATTAAGAGCATAACTTTCCTAGGACCTAATGTCAATGGGCCCACCACCTACGTACCTGCTAGCCTAGGCCCCGGCCCGTCGCACCTTGGCGTCGCCCATAGCCCCTAGGCTCGGCCCCTTGGCCCGTCGCCCCTAGGCTAGGCCCCTTGGCCCGTCGCCCCTAGCTTGGCCCCTCGGCCCCGCTGGCCCCGTCGATTCCGTCGCCCGCGCCCGGCCTGTACCTAGCCCGCGCTCGGCCACGTTCCTAGCCCCGCGCCCGGCCCGTACCTCGCCCGCGCTCGGCTCCATTCCTAGCCCCGCGCCCGGCCCGTACCTAGCCTCGCGACCGGCCCGTACCCTGCCCGCGCTCGGCCCCGTTCCTAGCCCCGCGCCCGGCCCGTACCTAGCCTCGCGACCGGCCCGTACCTAGCCCGCGCTCGGCCCCTTTCCTAGCCCCGCGCCCGGCCCGTACCTAGCCCGCGCCTGGCCCCGTACCTAGCCCGCGCCCGGCCCGTACCAAGCCCGCGCCTGGCCCCGTCCTTCGCCCAGCGCCCGGCCCCGTCTCTTGCCCGCGCTCGGCCCAGTACCTAGCCCAGCGCCCGGCCCCGTCTCTTGCCCGCGCTCGGCCCAGTACCTAGCCCGCGCCCGGCCCCGTACCTAGCCCCGCGCCCGGCCCTGTTCCGCGCCCAGCGCCCGGCCCCGTACCTGCCCAGCGCCTGGCCCCGTACCTAGCCCGCGCCCGGCCCAGTACCTCGCCCATGCCCGGCCCCGAACCTAGCCCCGCGCCCGGCCCCATTCCGTGCCCAGCGCCCGGCCCCACGACAACACCTGCGCCCGGCCCCTCGTTTGGCCCCGCGGCCCCTCGGCCCCACCTCAAAGCCCGGCGCCCGGCCCCCCGGCCCCTTGTTTGGCCCCTCGGCCCCCCCTAGGCCCCTCGGCCCCCCTAGGCCCCCCGGCCCCTTGTTTGGCCCCGCGGCCCCTAGGCCCCTCGGCCCCACCTCAAAGCCCGGCGCCCGGCCCCCCGGCCCCTTGTTTGGCCCGTCGGCCCCCTAGGCACCTCGGCCCCCCTAGGCCCCCCCCGGCCCCTTGTTTGGCCCCGTGGCCCCTAGGCCCCTCGGCCCCACCTCAGAGCCCTGCGCCCGGCCCCCTGTTTGGCCCCTCGGCCCCGCCCCTCGGCCCCGTGTGATTGGCCCCTCGGCCCCCCCTAGGCCCCCCGGCCCCTTGTTTGGCCCCGCGGCCCCTAGGCCCCTCGGCCCCACCTCAAAGCCCGGAGCCCGCCCCCCCGGCCCCTTGTTTGGCCCCTCGGCCCCCTAGGCCCCTCGGCCCCCCTAGGCCCCCCCCGGCCCTGTACCTGCCCAGCGCCCGGCCCCGAACCTGCCCAGCGCCCGGCCCTGTACCTGCCAGCGCCCGGCCCCGTACCTGCCCAACGCCCGGCCCCGTACCTGCCCAACGCCCGGCCCCGTACCTGCCCAGCACCCGGCCCCGTCCCTAGCCCAGCACCCGGCCCCGTACCTGCCCAGCGCCCGGCCCCGTTCCTAGCCATGGCCCCGTCGCCCCTAGCCATGGCCCCTCGCGACCTGCCGCCCCTAACCGCGGCCCCGGTGCCCTGTTGCAACGTGGTGGGTGAGGGGGTGGCAAGAGGGGGTTCCTCCTGCCCGCGTGCCCTACAGTCGCACGCGCAGCTCCGCCCCCGCCCCCCTCCCCCCCCTCCATGGGGATGGCGGGGAGAGGGGGGGGAAGCTTGGAGGTTCAGGGGGAGGCAGGAGGGGATCTGCAGCACCAGGTCCCCCACCCTTCTCCTACCTCCCCCTGCTGCGGGTGCAGCAGAGGGGGGGAGGGGATCTGCAGCACCGACCCCCCCCCCCCTCATCCTTCTCCTACCTCCCCCTGCTGCGGGTGCAGCGGTGGGGGGGAGGGGATCTGCCATCCCCCTGCTGCGGGTGTGGCGGTGGGGGGGAGGGGATCTGCAGCTCCAGGCCCCCCCCCCCCCCCCCCCTTCTCCTCCGTCTCTCTGCTGCAGGTGCAGCAGTGGGGAAGGGTATGGGGGTGGCGGGTGTGGCCAACCTGCTGTCGCCCGAGCGGCTCCTGCACCGCCCCTTCTCCTACCTCCCCCCCTGCTGCGGGGGCAGCAGTGGGGGGGGAGGGGATCTGCGGAACCAGCCCCTCCCCCCCCCCCCCCCCCCCCCCTTCTCCTACCTCCCCCTGCTGCGGGTGCAGCAGTGGGGGGAGGGGATCTGCAGCACCAGCCCCCCCCCCCCCCCTCCCTGCTCCTACCTCCCCCTGCTGCGGGTGCAGCAGTGGGGGGGAGGGGATCTGCAGCACCAGCCCCCCCCCCGCCCCCCCCCACCCCTCCCCGTTCTCCATCCCCTGCTGCAGGTGCAGCAGTGGGGGAGGGTATGGGGGTGGCGGGTGTGGGTGCAACTGCGGGGTGGCGGGTATGGGGGTGGCGGGTGTGTGAACCGTCCCCTGCTCCTCCTCCTCCACCGTCTCTCTGCTGCAGGTGCAGCAGTGGGGAAGGGTATGGGGGTGGCGGGTGTGGCCAACCTGCTGTCCCCCGAGCGGCTCTTGCACCGCCCCTTCTCCTACCTCCCCCCCTGCTGATCTGCGGCACCAGCCCCCCCCCTCCCCCCCCCCCCCCCTTCTCCTACCTCCCCCTGCTGCGGGTGCAGCAGTGGGGGGAGGGGATCTGCAGCACCAGCCCCCCCCCCCCCCCCCTCCCTTCTCCTACCTCCCCCTGCTGCGGGTGCAGCAGTGGGGGGGAGGGGATCTGCAGCACCAGCCCCCCCCCGCCCCCCCCCACCCCTCCCCCTTCTCCATCCCCTGCTGCAGGTGCAGCAGTGGGGGAGGGTATGGGGGTGGCGGGTGTGGGTGCAACTGCGGGGTGGCGGGTATGGGGGTGGCGGGTGTGTGAACCGTCCCCTGCTCCTCCTCCTCCTCCGTCTCCCACTGCTGCAGCTGCCGCTGAGGGGGGTGGGTGTGTGGGAGCCTAGGGAGTGGTGCTAGGGGGGTGACGTGGGAGTGGAGCTAGGGGTGCAGCAAGGGGTGTGTGAAAAGGGGGTGGGACAGTTGGGGGAGGTTGAGCGGAGGTACCTGTCGTGTCGCCAGCAGCGCCAGTAGTCCGGAGGCTACAATCTCCGGTAGCCCAGCGAGCCTGCTGCGCCAGTCGCCTGTGGGTCCGTTGCTCCTGCCGCTCAGAGTTAGCAGAAGAGCCAGTTACTCCTGTAGTCCGGGGATACGGCCCCGGTAGCCACAGTGCGCGCCGCTCCTGTTGCCCGTGTGTCTGCAGCATCAGCAGTCGCCTCCTATCTCCTCTCCTCTCACAGTCCAGCCTCCTCCTCACTTGCCCTTTGTGTATGCCTCTAGCTTTGCTTGTACTTGTGAACCTGCTCTATGACTGCTTGCTCTGCTGATTATACCCCACTTTGACTATGGGGGTGTGTCAGAATGTATTTGCTGTCTAGCCTGCAGTGGGGTACTCTGTAATGAGTACAACCCAATTTAGGGTGTTGTACTTGTATCCCAACTCTTGCTAGTGAAACCCCTCATTCTCCTTTCCAATCCTCTCGACACTCAATTCTCTCGACACTCAATTCTCTCGACACTCACTAGCCATGGCTCCTAAGTCTAGCTAGTATTCTAACAGTGGGCTGTCCGGTGGGGTGCTACTACTGGAGGCACCTGTGAGTCTACTCCAGCTGGTAGTGCTGCTAGTAGATGCAGAGTTTCTAGGGGTGGACAGCAGCAGCAGCAGCGTACGCTGGAGAATCTCTCCCCGCAGCAGCTTCGTGAGTGGACTGTCCGGTGGGGCAGCCCCGGTGGCGGAGGGTTTCGGGGTGGCCTTGCACACTTTTACCCTAGACACAGGCGCGTCTCGCTGCTTCTTCCGCGACAGCACCACTGTCACACCCTCACAGCCCCTATCCTTGTCACACTGGCCGACCCCTCCGGGGGCCCAGTAGTCGTGCGTGGCGCTATTGTTCTCCCCTGTCCGGCGGCCCCTTCCGGCCTCCTCACAGGTCTCCACCTCCCCTCGTTCGCTAAGAATTTGGTGGCTACCTCTGTCCTCCAGGTTCAGTGGGTCACTGTCACCCAGCCTGGAAGCGAGCTCGTGGCGATCTGTACGGACTCATGCACTAGTGAGCACCTCGCCATGTTCACTCGGAGGCCTGGGTCTGGCCTATGCACACTGACCACTGAGTCTGCACTGGTAGCTTAGTCAGGTCAGGTAGCTGCGTCGGTTGAGGTCGCTGCGTCCTGTTCGTGTCGTCTCCTCACGCACCAGACTCTCCTCTGGCACCACCATCTTGGCCACCCCTCCTTGCCACGCCTGCGTGGCATGCACTCCCGTCTCCTTGTGTCAGGTCTCCCCAAGTCTCTGCCCCTGCTTCCGAGGTCTCTTGCACCGCCCTGCCTTCCCTGTGTCGAGGGGCGACAGCGCACCGCTCCTCACTCCTCCTTGTTTCCTTCTACCACTGCTCCTCTGCAGACCCTGCACATGGACGTGTGGGGCCCCGCCCGCGTCACTGGACAAGATGGCGAGCGCTACTTTCTGCTGGTTGTCGATGACTACATGCGCTACACCATGGTCTTCCCCTTGCAGAGCAGGGCTCATGTCCGCGGTGTCTTGATCTGCTGGATCCGCGCTGTCCGTCTCCAGCTTCGCGCTCGGTTCTGTGAGGACCTTCCAGTCCTGCGGCTGCACTCTGACCGAGGTGGTGGGTTTTTCTCCCGCCTCCTCGAGGACTTCTGTGGTGCTGAGGGCATCCTCCAGTCGCACACGCTTCCGGCCTCTCCGGAGCAGAATGGGATTGCCGAGCGCCGCATTGGTCTAGTCATGGAGGTTGCTCGCACCTCCATGATCCATGCGGCTGCTCCCCATTTTATGTGGACGTTTGCGGTTCGATACGCCGCTAAGCAGCTCAACCTCTGGCCCCATGTCTCCCGCCCGGAGGCCTCCCCCACTTTGCGGTGGACGGGCGAGGTTGGTGATGCGACGGCGTTTCGGGTCTGGGGTTCCCTCTCTCTTGTCTGAGATTTGCTTGCAGGCAAGCTCTCTCCACGCACTCTTCGGTTCGTGTTCCTTGGCTTTCCCATCGATGCATCGCTCTAGCAGCTTTACCACCCGGTCTCTCGTCGTGTGCTGTCCTCCCGCGACGTCACGTTTGACGAGTCCGTCTGCTTCTACCATCTTCAGCCCCACCGCAGTTCCCCGGTACCCCTCCCGCCTCTCTCCCCGGTGGACGACTCCCCCCTGGTAACCCCCCTCCCTCCTCCCAATCCCGCTCCCTCAGGTGTGTCTCAGGTAGAGCCACCCCCCTTTGTTGAGCCTTTGGAGGTCTCCTCAGACACCTCAGGCCCAGCTGAGGGGGGTGACCAGATGTTAAAAGCATAGTAGCCATAGCTAGGGTGAAAGCTAGGCGAGTGTCGAGAGAAAAGCTGAGAAGGAAAATGATTGTTTCACTACGAGAAGAAAGTACAAGACATAGGAGTGAGAGATGGCAAAGGGTGCACCACCTACAAGGACTATAACAGTAACTACACTACAGCTATCACTATATGCAGTTATACAGAAATATATATAAAATATATTCGGACACACCCCCTAACTGCATGCAAGAATAGCCATGTGCAGAACACCCCCTAAAGGGGTACACCCTGCGCAGCGGAAGAAGGAGAGGGCAAATGAGGAGGAGGCGGCTGATGCTGCAGCTGGACTCACAGCACCCCCTCAACCTCCCCCCGCACAGCAGCAGCAGCAGCAGTGAGGAGAAAGAGGAGGCGTGGCGACATTTGCGGCAGTTGTGTCACCCACCAACCATATCCCCTGAGCCTCCCCAGTACTTCACACTCCCCCCCCACAGCAGCAGGTGCGGCTAGGAGAGAGAGGAGGCAGGCTGGCGCTGTAGGTGTAACCTCCCCCTCACACCCTCCCCTCCCCTCCCCACCCACCCAAACTGCTGCACGTGCTGCAGGGAGAGGGAGGAGAAGGGGGGGGGGGGGGGGGGGGGGGTAGGGGCTGTGCATGGAGCTGCAGATGCGCGTGCAGAGGGCAGCAGGGCGCACAGGGCAGCAGGGCAGCAGGGCGTGCGGGGCGCACAGGGCTGCAGGGCGCGCGAGGGTGCGCAGGACAGCAGGGCGCGCGGGGCGCGCAGGGCTGCAGGGCGCGCGGGGCGCGCAGGGCAGCAGGACAGCAGGGCGCGCGGGGCGCGCAGGACAGCAGGGCGCGCGGGGCGCACATGGCAGCAGGGCAGCAGGGTGCGCGGGGCGCACAGGGCTGCAGGGCACGCAGGACAGCAGGGCGCGCGGGGCGCACAGGGCAGCAGGGCGCGCGGGGCGCACAGGGCTGCAGGGCGCGCGAGGGCGCGCAGGACAGCAGGGCGCACGTGGCGCGCAGGGCTGCAGGACAGTAGGGCGCGCGGGGCGCGCAGGGCTGTAGGGCGCGCGGGGCGCACAGGGCAGCAGGGCAGTAGGGCGCGCGGGGCGCGCAGGGCTGCAGGGCGCGCGGGGCGCACAGGGCAGTAGGGCAGTAGGGCGCGCGGGGCGCGCGGAGCGCGCAGGACAGCAGGGCGCGCGTGGCACGCAGGGCTGCAGGAAGGGCTGTAGCGGCAACAGCAAGGGCTGTAGCTGCAGCAGCAAGGGCTGTAGCGGCAACAGCAAGGGCTGTAGCGGCCGCAGCAAGGGCTGTAGCGGCAGCAGCAAGGGCTGTAGCGGCAGCAGCAAGGGCTGTAGCGGCAGCAGCAAGGGCTGTAGCGGCAGCAGCAAGGGCTGTAGCGGCAGCAGCAAGGGCTGTAGCGGCAGCAGCAAGGGCTGTAGCGGCAGCAGCAAGGGCTGTAGCGGCAACAGCACGGGCTGTAGCGGCCGCAGCAAGGGCTGTAGCGGCAGAAGCAGGGGCTGTAGCGGCAGCAGCAAGGGCTGCAGCGGCAGCAGCAAGGGCTGTAGCGGCAGCAGCAAGGGCCGTAGCGGCCGCAGCAAGGGCTGTAGTGGCAGCAGCAAGGGCTGTAGCGGCAACAGCAGGGGCTGTAGCGGCAGTAGCCTCTACAGCAAGGCAAGGGCGGCAGCAGCAGTTGCTGAGTGGCAGTGAAGCCAGTGCACGCAGCAGGGGTAGTGCACGAGCGGCGCTGGTAAGGAGCAGACGGCAGCGCAGCAGCGCAGACAGTGCGCTTGCCAGCAGCGCAGGCAGGGCGCTTGCCGGCGGCGCAGGGCAGCGTGCGGGCAATGCAAGCCGCTTGCGCAGCGTGCAGGCAGCGCGCTGGGCGGGGGGGGGCTGGTGCTGCAGATCCCCTCCCCCCCACTGCTGCACTCGCAGCAGGGGAATGGAGGAGAAGGGGAGTGGGGGGGGGGGGGGGGGGTGGGGGGGCTGGTGCTGCAGATCCCCTCCACTATCCGCCACCCCCCAGGGATGGAGGAGAAGAGGGGGGGGGGGGGGGAGGGGGGGGGGGGGGGGCTGGTGCTGCAGATCCCCTCCCCCTACTGCTGCACCCACAGCAGAGGGAGAGAGGAGAAGGGGGGGGGGGGGGGGGCTGGTGCTGCAGATCCCCTCCCCCCCACTGCTGCTCCACTATCTGCCACCCCCCAGGGATGGAGGAGAAGAGGGGGGAGGGGGGGGGGGGGGGGGGGGGGGCTGTTGCTGCAGATCCCCTCCCCCTACTGCTATACCCGCAGCAGGGGGATGGAGGAGAAGGGGGGGCGGGGGGGGGGGGCTGGTGCTGCAGATCCCCTCCCCCTCACTGCTGCACCCGCAGCAAGGGAATGGAGGAGAAAGGGGGGGGGGCTGGGGGGCTGGTGCTGCAGATCCATTCCGGCCACCCCCTTACCCTCCAAGAGCCCTCCACCCCCATACTCCCCCCCCCCCCCCCCCCCCCCCCCACTGCTGCACCCACAGCAGGGGGATGGAGGAGAAGGGGGGGCAGAAGGGCGTCAGTGGCGAGCGTAGGGGCGTCGGGCGACGGGCTGGGGCGCGTGGGCTAGGGGCGACGGGACAGGCTAGGAGCGACGGGCCTACGGGCCGTGATAGGGGCGACGGGCCGGCCTAGGGGCGACGGGCCGTGGCGACAGGCCTAGGGGCGACGGGCCGGGGCGAAAGGCCGAGGGGCAACGGGCGACGGGCCGGGGCATGGGCCTGGGCCAAGGGGCGTAGGGGCGACGGGCGTAGGGGCGACGGGCCGAGGGGCGACGGGCTAGGGGCCGGGGCCTGGGCCTGGGCCAAGGGGTCTAGGGGCGACGGGCGTAGGGGCGACGGGCCGAGGGGCGACGGGCTAGGGGCCGGGGCCTAAGGGCGTCGAGCGACGGGGCCGGGCCTAGGGGAGCGACGAGCGACGGGACCGACGGGCCTAGGAGCGGCGGGCGCGAGCGACGGGCCGGGGGCCGGAGTCTAGGGGCGACGGGCGTAGGGGCGACGCGCGACGGGCGACGGGCCGGGACCGGGGCCTAGGGGCGTCGGGCGCGAGCGACGGGCTAGGGGCCGGGGCCTAGGGGCGACGGGCCGAGGGGCGACGGGCCTAGGGGCGACGGGCGCGAGCGACGGGCCGGGGCCTAGGGGCTACGGGCCACGGGCCGTGCCGAACGTCGAGAGGAGGGCTGCACGAGGGCGGCGCGCAGGGTAGCAGGTGGTAAGCCCAAGGTTCTTAATCGCTCTGATACCATGTTAAAATCATAGTAGCCATAGCTAGGGTGAAAGCTAGGCAAGTGTCGAGAGAAAAGTTGAGAAGGAAAATTATGGTTTCACTAAGAGAAGAAAGTACAAGATAAGTGAGAGATGGCAAATGGTGCACCACCTACAGGGACTATAACAGTAACTACACTACAGCTATAACTATATGCAGTTATACGGAAATATATATAAAATATATTCTGACACCATGGCCCCTCGCCGCTCCGCGCACTTGGCGGTCCTTCCTGGCTTTCCGCCTTGACCGTCGTCACCGCCTCTGCGGCCCGTCGTTGTAGACTCTGGTGTTGCTGGAGGTGGTGACACTGGGGGTGCGGACTCTTGGGGTGCTGGCTCTGGGGGTGCTGCGGGTCCTACGGGTGCAGGGGGTGCTGGAGGTGCTGCTGCTGGAGGTTCTGCAAGTGGAGGTGCTGGTGGTGCTGGTGCTGGTGGTGCTGGTGCACGTTGGCAGGAGACTCTCTCGCCGGAGCGGCTTTGCGAGTGGGCTGTCCGCTGGGGCAGTCCTGGTGGTGGCGCTGGATGTGCTAGAGTTGCAGATTCTGGAGGTACTGGCCCTGAAGGTGCTAGTGCTGGTGTTTCTGGAGGTACTAATGCTGGAGGCAGGTACTACTGGAGGTACTGGAGGTGCTGCTGTTGTGGGCGTTGCTGCGGGTAGTCCTGGCTCACGTCACCAGGAGTCTCTCTCGCCGGAGAGGCTTCGCGAGTGGGCTGTCCGTTGGGGCAGTCTTGGTGGTGGCGCTGGACGTGTTGGAGCTGCAGTTTCTGGAGGTGCTGGCCCTAGAGGTGCTAGTGTTGGTGTTCATGGAGTTGGCCATGCTGGAGGTACTAGTACTGGAGGCACAGGTGCTACTGGAGGTACTGAAGGTGCTGGCCCTGTAGGTGCTAGTGCTGTTGTTCCTGGAGTTGGAGGTACTGGCGGTGATGACACTGGGGGTGCTACTGGAGGTACTGGAGTTGGTGGTGCTCGTCGGTAGTAGTCGCTCTTGCCGCAACAGCTTCGCGAGTGGGCTGTCCGTTGGGGCAATCCCGGGGTGGAGCTAGTGGTGCTGGTTCTGGGGGTGCTGTTCCTATTGGGGCTCGCAGATTTGGGGGTGTGACTACTTAGCCGCAGCTGTATGCACTTCGTCACCTTCTCAGTCTCCCGCCTACTGCTCATGAGTTCCCGTTTGCTGGTACTACTCCTCCGTTACTGTTCCCACCGACTGTCCAGTCTCAGCCACAGCTACTGCCTGGCTCCCCACTGCCTGCTCCTGCTCCTCACACTGCGGTGTCAGAGTCCTTCACTGAGCGTAGAGAGCCTGCGTCGCGTCCTGTCACGCATGTCCGTTCTCGTCCTGCTGTGCGTCCTCGTCCTCCACCTGTCCCTAGCACACACATCATGGCACTTCGTCCTTCCTCTGTTCCACTGCGTGTTGTCCTGCCGTCTCCTCCAGCGTCTTCTCTTCCTCACATTCCTGACCTTGAGTCTGACCTTGTCCGTACTGCCAGTCCAACTGTCACTCGTCTCCTTGCCACGGTTGTGATTGACCCTTCCTTTGAGTCTGCTGCTGCGTCTGCCTTAGTTGCTGAGCTTGTTGACTTTGCTACTTTGTGCCGCCTTGACTACGCTGCGAGTCTTGTTTTTTACTCTTCCTGTCCTCCGTCGGTCGGGGGTGAGCTTGCCCCTGGCTGTGACGTTCTTGAGGACAGGCAGTTTGAGCTGGAGTTCCTAGCGGTCGCTGCACCTCATCTCGCGTCCACGCTACTTTGCCGTGAGGGAGACCCGGATGCACTGGACATCCCGACCCCGCGCACTTACGCAGAGGCGATCACGGGTCCGTACTCCTCTCAGTGGTAGATAGCCATGGATGTATAGATGGCTTCCTGGAAGTCCACAGGCACCTACGTCGACGAGGTTCCCCCACCTGGGGCGAACATTGTCGATGGCATGTGGATTTTCAGAGTGAAGCGGCCGCCGGGTTCTCCGCCTGCCTTCAAGGCGCATTACGTTGTACGAGGCTTCAGTCAACGTGAGGGGGTCGACTTCTTCCATACCTTCTCCCCCACCTCGAAGATGGCCACTCTTCGGGTGCTACTGCACGTTGCAGTACAGCGCGACTAGGAGCTGCACTCCCTCGACTTCTCGACAGCCTTCCTGCAGGGCAGCCTTGACGAGGCTATCTGGTTGCGCCGCCCACGTGGCTTCAATGGTTAGTTTCCTGAGGGTACCCACTGGAGTCTTCGGCGACTAGTCTATGGCCTACAATAGGCACCCCGTGAGTGGCATGACACATTGATGACTACACTTGCAGCTCTTGGCTTTGCTCCCTCGACTGCTGACCCTTCGCTGTTTCTGCGTACAGACACTTCTCTGCCGCCATTCTACGTTCTTGTGTACGTTGACGACTTGGTTTTTGCTACTGCTGACACTGAGGCTCTGGCCTTAGTGGAGGCGGAGTTGCAGGAGAGACACACTTGCACTGACCTGGGTGAGCTGCGGAGCTATCTTGGCTTGCAGATCATCCGAGACAGAGCACGCCACACCATCACCCTCACTCGGTCACACATGGTGCAGCAGGTCCTTCAGCGCTTCGACCTCTCGTGGTCCTCTCCACAGCCCACTCCTCTGTCTACCGGCCACTCGCTCTCAGCTCCACCTTCGGACGAGTCCGTAGAGCTGAGTGGTCCGTACCTAGAGCTTGTGGGTTGCCTCATGTACCTGATGACGTGCACACGACCTTACCTCGCGTACCCTCTCAGCCTCCTGGCTCGCTACGTGGCTCCCGGTAGACACCGAAAGGTGCACCGAGAAGCTGCGAAGAGGGTATTGCGTTACTTGTGCAGTACATCGGGCATGGGGCTCGTGCTTGGAGGACGAGGTTCAGTTGTTCTCACCGGTCACTCAGAAGCTTCTTGGGGTGACGACGAGACGACTCACCGGTCGACACAGGGGTACAGTTTCAGCCTTGGCACTGGTTCTGTCTCATGGAGGTCCACTCGCTCTTCTTCTGTACTTAGTTCTAGCTGTGAGGCCGGGATATACGCTTGGGCTATGGCTGCACAGGAACTCCGCTGGCTGACCTACCTGCTAACCGACTTGGGTGAGCGGCCTTGTTCTCCTCCAGTTCTGTATGTCGACAACAAGGCCATGATTGCCTTGTGTCGGGACCAGAGACTGGAGCACAGAACGAAGCACATTGCTCTTCGTTACTTCCTCACGCGAGAGCTGCAGCAGCGTGGTCAGCTTCGTCTTGCTTACGTGGCCACACAGGCCAACACTGCTGATATCTTCACCAAGGCCCTTGGGTCTAGTGATCATCAGCGTTTCTGCATTGCTCTTGGGCTTGTGCCCACTCTGCCTCACCTGTTTGCCCCTTGATCTTGCCTTGTACTTTTATATATATGATTCTACCTGCATGTTTACACTTGCTAAGTTGTGATCAGTGTACGGCAATTGCTTTTATAAACTCTGCATGTGAACTGGCATCTGTCAGAATCCCAGTCACTAGACCACTGGGATAAAAGGGCTTGTTAAGTAGCGGGTCAGTGCGCCCATAACCCCCCAGGACAACGAGCCTGTAACCCTTCCCTAGGATCAATCGGGGATCACCAGTGGACCTCTGACAGCATCGTGGCCGCTTGCTTGTGCTCAGAATGCGTGGTGATCTTGAGATCCACCCTGAGCTTTGCTTTGCGTATCTTCTGACTGGTCTTGTGGCCATTGCTTGCTCTATCTATCCCCCACTTCGCCTATGGGGGTGTGTCAAAATATATGTTTGTATGTTTTATTAGGCTGTAATGGGTTTAGTCCTGGGGGGTACACTAATCTTCTCTACATCCTTCTTGTACCCCTCCCTTCAAGCTAGTCCACATAATTTCTTAATCTGAATAGCTATGTCGTTTCGAATTTCTCTATATTTCATATATAAACATATGTATGCATTTGCTATTTGAGGTCAACACTTCCGCTGCAAAATCACCTGCGATCAACCATGAGCCGATCCATGGCTAAGTCTCTTTCAGAATTGTAACATGGTACGAGAGCTACTTGTTGATTCTTCGCACCCCTACCGTAAAATTCGCCAAACCAAAACTGACAAGCGGCACACGCTCCCAGGTCACGATTCACGTTGGATCCCTCTCATACATAGGCCTCCTCCTTCCTTTTTTCCTAACATGTCCCACAACTTCTTGCACGAACATACGCCTTCAGCGTGACGTCCTATTATTTTGCATATATATGCCATTCATAGAGTTATATGGCAGTGTTTTGTCCCAATTCAAGAATGCTATCGAAATGACGTCAGAATCTCGGAAATGCAAGTTCCCGCCTTATGGTGGTTGGTTTGATCGCGTTTTACAGGGCAGACCAGCCTCGTGAGAAGGCATCAAGATCACCAGAGGGAACCAATAAAGCGGGGCGTTCTGCCTGAGCTGGCTTGTGCCACGTCTGCCACACAGCAGTTTTCGCGCCCATTTCTCGCGCGACCGACTGCAGCGGCTTGGTGAAATCTTGAGGGCATGCCCCTGCCAAATTACTAGGTTCGGACTGAAGGAGGCAGCATAAAGGCACAAATACTTTCCTGCTCTACACCTAGTCCGCGGTATTTTAACCACGTAAACTGTTTTGCTTCAAACACCCTTTGTTCATTTTCGGGTAATGAGATGGGCACCCAGAGACTTTAAGACTATTGTTTCGCAGCCAGAAGCATTTACTTCTAAAGAAACTCACACTTAGTGCTCCGAAATAGAGGGCGGATCGGCATTGACCATGTTTTGACTGCCGGCGCCTCACAAAGGGTTTGCTATATTCTACCCTCAATAAACTTCGAAACTACTCGTATAAAAAAGTTTGACCAAGGAGAAGTACCCTCGCGCGGTTAAGATAGCGGCGACCGCGGACTAGGTGTACCTTCTCGAATGGGCTGGTGTGCATTCCAATTTGAAATCTCCACGCTCGGTGTGCTCTCTGGTGCTTTTCTACACGAACACCAAACAGCATTATTTATGAGACTTCATCCCAGTAGGCCTTATTTCAGGGGTAAATTATTCAGGAAAATCCTTACACTGGGGCTCTTGAAGAAAAATCGTTGTTGCAGCATCAGACAAGTCCTAGGGGAATGGTGGCAGCTGCTAGGCATCATCAGCGACACAGCTGATTGAGCCGAATCTTCCACAGGAAACGAACTCTGACACAAACCCACCCAGCCTCAGCTATTTGTTGAGGCGCATGAAGCCGCTGTACACCAGCTTGGCAGCGTTTCCCACCGCTTCGTTGGAGTTGACAAGCAAACCAGATCCGGTGGGTCCACCACCACGGAAACGGAGCCTTTCATTCCAATAACTCATTGCCACGGCTATCTGCGTTAGCTATCAGCCGCTTGTGGAGTGGGTCTGGTTGTGTCAGTTCCAGGCCCTAGCTTCACCTTCATTCGTGGAACGACAAACTATTGCGATATCGTTTGTTTAAGCTGCTCCTGAAGGCTACGCGACACGCGCGGGAAACGCGAAGGGTCAAAGAGCGTTTTCTTGCACGAGGCAACCCAGACAGGACGGCCCACGAGCATGCTACTATTGCTGTAATGGGTAAGTGCAACGTTGACCGCACACCCGCATAACGTGCGAAACTGTTTAACTATACTGTCATTCTTTCTTCTAGAAGCCTCGTCATGCTCGTAGTTTCTGACGAGCTGTACACGGTCGAACCTATAGGTAGCTAACCATCCATGGATCCACATGCATTTGCGAAAGGACTTACTAATTTCACATGGATAGTCGGAGCTCTACATTTCGTTACCAGAGGTTTCCACCCATTCCGCCTCAACACCCTCTTCATTATCGACGCTTGATCCTTTCCACCTCGGCTTCCCGCCGACGTGAAGCGTCAGCAATGGACGGCGCAATGCGAGTTCTGTTTGTGCTCGACCTTCAACGCACAACCAGATCCGATCACGCGTGTTAATCGCCACTCAACCATTGCCTCAGTTCTGTCTGTTCCTCACCCCTCTGTCCTCCGCGTCCAACCCAATCCCCGTAACCCCTTGTTTCAGAGTCCAGTGGCGTGTGCCGTGTTCAAGACGTGTGGTCTCCCGTTCCGCGTCGCTTGCTACTCTCAAGTTCACTGCGCCGTTTCCTGTCGTCGAAGGGACATCGCAACGGTCGACGCTCTATGTGGGGGTTCTCGCTCAACATGACGCTCGCCATCGCCATCCTCGCGCTCCTGCCGCTTCTGCTCGGCGTCAGAGCAAACGAGGTTCATCTGTCGAATCGCGCTATCGCGTATCAAATCTGGCCCGGAGGCGGCGGCGCGTTTAACCCGGGAGGTGGCAGCGGAGGGGGAAGCGGCAGCGGAGGGGGAGCCAGCAGCGGAGGGGGAACCAGCAGCGGAGGGGGAAGCAGCGGCGGGGGAAGCAGCAGCGGCGGGGGAAGCAGCAGCGGAGGGGGAAGCGGCAGCGGAGGCGGAAGCGGCCGCGGAGCTTTCCCGGGTGGTGGTGGCACTGGGAGCGACGGTAACTTCTTCCCGTCCCCCCAGTCTCCTTCCGGTGGCGGTTCCCCTAGCAAGCCTCCCTCGCCCTCATCTCCTCCCTCCTCCAGCAGCCCCCCGAAATCCTCCTCTCCGCCCGTGCAATTGTCTCCCCCGGCCGACCAGTCTCCGCCTACCTCGTCGTCGTCTTCCCCTCCCATTAATCGCTTCAAGACAGGTCCCCCGTTCGGACCGCCTAAGGCTCCAGATTTCCAGGCGCCCCAGTCACCACCATGGCAGTTCCCGCCTGTCGGATCCCCGCCAATCCCACAGTCCCCGCCCAAGCAGTCCCCGCAGTCTCCGCCCAAGCAGGCTCCGCCCAAGCAGTCTCCGCCCAAGCAGTCTCCGCCCAAGCAGTCCCCGCCCCAGCAGTCCCCGCCCCAGCAGTCTCCGCCCATTCAGTCCCCTCCCAAACAGTCCCCGCCCAAGGAATCCCCGCCCGAATCCCCGCCCAACTCTCCGCCCTTTTATCAATCCCCTCCCAACTCCCCACCCGATTGGTCGTCCCCTCCTTACTCGCCTCCGTTTTCTCCTTCACCCTCTTTGTCCCCGCCCCGAGCTTCCTCCCCCAAGAAGTATACAAACTCGTCTCCTCCCGCTCAACCTCCACCCTCTCTCTTCCCCGCACCATTCCCGCCGTCCTCGAATGCTCCTCCTCCCACCTTTGCTAAGCCCCCTTCAGCTTTCCCTCCTGACGCACCCCCTCCGGAATTTCCGCCTCCTTTACTTAGCCCTCCGCCGCCAAAGCCCCGATTGAGCCCCCCCCCGCCCCCACCGAGCCCGTCTCCGCCTCCGCCAGTCCCCCCCCCTGCGCCTGCTCCTGTTCCCGCGCCCGCGCCCGCGCCCGCGCCATCGGAACTCGTCGATGCCCCCGCGCCAGAGCCCGCCGCTCCGCCTCCGCTTTTCTTTCCACCGCCTGTGCCCCTTAGCCCGCCCCCGCATCCCCCGCCAACCCCTCCTCCTGTGCCGCCAAAGGCCCCCTCTCCGCCACTCTCTCCTGGCTCCCTCTTCCCCAATTCGTCTGTCGCGCCGCCTGTGTACTTTCCCCCTTCTCCGAAGCCCCCCCCGCCCCCCCCAGCACAGCCCCCGTCCCCCCCACCTTTTGGCCCATCTCCACCGCCCCCTCCTGCGCCTCCCCCACCGCCGCCTATTATCATTCTGCCCTCTGATGATGGATCAACAACGGGGACGAGCAGCGGGGGAATGAGCACTGCTGCTCTGGCAGGAACGATCATTGGAGTGGTGCTTGGTGTGCCGTTGCTGGCTGGAGGCGTCTGGATGGGAGTGCAATGGATGCAAACTTCCCATGTAGCAGCTGTCAAAACTGCAGCACCGGGGGGAGGATAGCACATAGCTCATAGCTTACTGTGAGAGAGGAGTTGCCAGCGGCTGTGTCATTGGGGAGATTCTGTTTAGTGTTGCGGCAGGTTATTATCAGTGGTAAACTATTAATATGATGTGGTATTTATGACCTCAAGCTGCAAATGGAGTACATGTGTTCTGTAGGGTTTTGGCTACTTTTTACCAACATGACCACCAACCAGTGGAATCTGATTGCCATCTTTGAAGCCACATACAGGTTGCTAACACAAGTAGCCCCAAGGCCAGGATGCCGCTGACGGTTCTCTTAAATAGTCTCTTTTTAATCTAGGTTACTCCAGCCCTCAAATGAGTAATTTTCTTCTGTTATGCGTTCAGTTGAGCAAGAGAAAATGTATTGCACAATTGGGGCAAGGAGGAGGTACAATGTGAGCGAGCGAAGGAATGAGCGATCATAGGAAATACTAACAGTTAAGCTTGAAAACTGGATAGGCTGGCTGTGGTACGCTGTCCTTGTGGCTCGGGCTAGTCCAAAAGTGTAGGGGCTGATTCGGCCTTATGCAGAGAAGCAAAGTTTGACAAAGGTGGTTGTGTGACGGTTGAGGTCCAGAAACCATTGTTGTAAGAGACAGGAAAAGTTGATCCTTATTACAATTTTACACTACCAGCAGGTGTAACAAGAACGTGCGAAAGCCTCCACACTCACCAAACCAAACTTCGTGTGTTTTCTAGCTTTTTGGTTCCCTCCTGACAATTCGAAATGTGCTGCTCTGGTCATGTGTCGCCTACTTTTCAAGTGCCTTGGGATCTCCTCCAGCATCTCAAGTAGTCGCAGCGTTGACAGGACCACGCATTGCTGGATAATGGCTCCGGATTCGCCGCCTCGGTCGTCTGTCAATTGCAATTAAGGACGTCTCTAGTTTTACTGTGCGGTTCTTGAGGATAGGGAATAATGACAAGTGAGCTGCTGACCAACCTCTTTCACATTGTAAGGATTCCGCGCTTGTTGATGGCACTCACTGATGCACTACGCGTGAGAGGCGAACAATAGCGCATCAACTTCAATAAAGACGAACTTCGTTTCTATCGTGCTGTTTCCCTCTTTCAGCCCGTTGTCAGCCGCGGCTTTATGGCGCGTCTAGTCACACATGTTCAATGCAATTCCTTCGAAACTGAGTGGAAGCGAATTAAATGGAGGACGTTCCCTTGTAGAATTCATTAAATGCAAACCTCTAGTTTCGTCTGCTTCCGCCATTGCTCTACCAGGTCCAATCCGCGTTCAATGATCTCCGTCTCTCGCGCGTTCTCTCTCGCTCTCTTTCTATCCCCCATGCTCGCCTGTTTCAACCCGCCAGGATAGCCCCGCCCACGTGTATTGGAAGCAGTGGCGCTTCATTCCCCGCGCTGCTCCCCGCGTCTCCCCTTTGCGCCCCTCCGCATCCGCCGCCGCGAAGCAAACCCCACGCGGCACCCCTCGTGCCGCCTCCGCCGCTGCTCGCGCGGAAGAAGCGGAGGGGGTCGGGCGGAAATGGCGAAGCGGAGGCGGAGAGGGAGCGGGGGAGGGGGTGGAGGGCACGCTGGCGGCGGTGCGGGCGGCAGTGAGGTGGCAGCAGTGGTGGAGGGCGAAGGGGATGATGGCTGTGTGCTGCTGGGGCAAGACGAGAGGCGCAGGTGGCGCGCAGTGGGAGCCGCGCGTGTGGGTCTTCTGCTCCAACCCCACCTTCTCTTCAGGCCCGCGCCCCCCCTCGCGCCACCAGCACCACCAGCACCAGCAGCAGCAGCAGCAGCACCATCACCGAACACGTGGGCGGGCAGGGCGCCGGGTGGGAGGAAAGGCCGGGGCAGCAGTAGCAGTGCGGAAGGCAGGAAGGGGAGGCGGCGGGAGGGTGTTTGAGAAGAGGTGGAGTGAGGCAGCGGCAAGCGAGGGCGGATGGGGTGGTGACAGCCTTGCTATGAAACCCACTTGTATGGCCTCCCTCCCCCTCCACCTCCTTTCTCCACTCCTCTCGCTTGCTCTCTCTTTTTTTCTCTGTTCTCCTTTGCTCCGCATCTTCTGTTTCTCTGCATCTCCTCTCCCTCGCCTCTCCTCTCCCTTTCCACTCGTCTCCCTCCTCTACCCTCTCTCACCCAGCAACTTACACTCTTCCCAAACACCCCCCAACACTCCCCCTCTGCTCCCCCTCCTCCCCCCTTCCGCCCCCCTCCCTCTCCACCCCAGTGGCAGCATGGGGTTACTGGGCGGCGGATGGCGGGTATGTGTCGTTCCGCTTGCTCAAGCTGCCCACTCGCCTCAGGCGCGCGCACAGGGTGGCCGCATTCAGGCGCAAGGGCAAGGCACGCGGGGGGACTGCTGGCAGGCGCAGGAAGGCGGGCGCTGGGGCGGGGGTGAAGGGCGGAGGGCGCGGCAGTGGGTCACGGAAGAGAGGGCGGGGTGGCGGAGGATGGGGGAGTGGCGGGGAGAGGATGGCTAAACGCGCGCGCGCGCAGGGGGGAGGGGGTTCGGAGGGACTTATAGGGACTCCCAGAGGGAAGGCAGGGCGGGAGAAAAAGGGGGTGGCTAGCAGGCGAGGTGGGACAAGAGGTGTGCGTGGGAAGGGCAGAGGGGGAGGCAGACAGGCGAGAAAGCCGGGGGAGCGAAGGCGAGCAGCAGGGGGGAAGCGGACTGGGAGGAGGAGGGTGGGTGTGGGCGGAGTGAAGCGGTCACGGAGGAGGAAGAGAGTGGTGGTGATGGGTGGGGTAGGGCATGAGGAGGTGCTGTACTGGCTGTGCGAGGCGCTGAGGCAGAGAGTGGCGCGGTGAGTCATTGCATATGGTGAACCAGCTTGTGCTGTCATGCATGCTCTGCTCTTCCCTCCTGTGACTGCTGCCCACTACTAGTCCATTCCAGATATGTCCGTACTCATCTATCTGTCTCTCCTCGCCTTCGCATTGTGCCCCGTTCCTCTACCTCCCCAGGATTCACTTGCTTCTTTTGTGTGTGTCCCAACGCCCATCCCATTGTTGTGCTATCTGTGTCCTCTCCCCCCCAACTCTTTCTGTCCCGTGTGCGATGGGGTGCCAGGGCGTTCGAGGCAGCAGGCTATGTGGAGTTCGATGGGGTCTTTGTCAAGCCCATCACCACACGCAGGTACGCCTGCGCTCACAACCCTCATGCCATGAATGCCATGCCATGCCGTTCCATGCCATTCCACCCCACACGATCCCATCCCACTCCACCCCAGGTCACCGCCATGATGCACCCACCCATCCATCCTTGCTCCTCTGCATGGTCCCACCCGCCGTTTTCGTCCCTAGCGTCCCTGTGGCAAGGCAGTTTTCTTGAGGTGCCTGGAGCCCCTGTCGTGCTGTGTGTCTGTGTGCAGCCAAGCCAGCCATGCAGCGGCCATTGCATGTGAAGTGCATGTGCGCCCCTCCGCCTTCGGTCTCCTGCTCCACACACACGTCTCCACCAGGTGATCTCACCTCACCTTGTCTCCTCTCACCTCATTGCTCTCCTCACCTCACGACATGTCACCTCACCCCACGGTGCCTCATCTTTCACACAAGCCAGCCAACCCCCATGAGGCGGATTGTACACCAGCAGCCAGCCATCAGTTCCCCAGGTCTTCCATTCTCACCCTGAATTACCCAAATTCCTGTACCCGAAACCCCTGAATCATCTCTTCTTCTTGCTGTGACGCATGTGCCCCATGTTGTGGTGTCGTGTGGTGTGGTGTGGTGGACTGTGCACGTGTTGCCAGGTCGTTGCGTGCATTGACTCCTGCTGACTTCTCACAGCAACGACCCCATGGCTCCGCGTTACCAGGTGAGGCAATGGCGCTGCCAGGTGAGGCAATGGTGCTGCCCCACACCGTGTGCCGTGAGAAAGTGCCAGCATACACATGCCGTGCATCAATCGTGGCGCCGTCAACAGTGACATGCTCGCGCTCCCTGCTGCACCTCTTCTCAATCCCTCTTTCCACGCCCAGCCCACCATCCACCTACGCTCCGATCCCCTTCCATACCCAATCCCCGCGCTTCCCCTCGCTTCTGCCCCCCTCCCTCCATGCCAGTGCTGCTGGCGCCAGCAGCATGGCCTGCCCTGGTCCATCGCCCCACTCCCCCTCGCCTCATCCGCTTCCTGCGCCGCTGGCGCGTGGAGCAGCATTTGAGGCGCACGCAGGGAAGAGAGGCGCGAAGAGGGGTGAGGGCAGGGGCAGTGCGGACGAAGCAGGGGAGAACAGGGGGACGGGGGGTAAGGAGGGGGACAGGGAAGGCGAAGCAGAGGAGGAGTGCTGTGGCCGTGAGCGGGCAGAGGAGGAAAGGGAGGAAGGGGAAAGTGGGAGTGCGCGTGGGGAAGGGAAAGAGGGGTGGGAAGAGAGCAGCTATTGGTGAAGGCCGGAAGGTTACGGGTGGTGAGAAAAAAAAAAAGAAGGGAAAGGTGGTAGGAGAGAAAAAGCCAGTTAAGACAGGAGGAAAGAAAAAGAAGGGAAAGGTGTTTGGGAAGAAAAAGCCAGTTAAGACAGGAGGAAAGAAAACAAAGGGAAAGGTGTTAGGGAAGGGTGGCGCCGGAGTAGCGAGGAAGAAGGCAGGTGAAGCAGGGGCGAGGAAGATAAAAGGAAAACCAGGACGGGCGAAGAATCGACCGTTGGCTAAAGTAGGTGTGAGGAAGACTAAGGAGAAGGCGGGCCAGGCAAGAAATAAAGTGGTGGTTGCGAGGAAGGGGAGGAAGAAGAAGACGGTGACTTTTGCTGATGTGCGCGGTCGGAAGGTGGTGACACGGAAGAAGGGCAAAAGACGAGTGAAGCTGGTGCACATGATGTGAGTGCATGCAATGGGATTGAAACACGTGGTTGGGGAGAATGGCAGGAAAATGAATAGACTGTACTGTGAGAAGACATGGGTAAGTGCATGTGTGTAGTTCTTCCAGACACATACTGTATGTTTGATTACCAATGTGACATGGTGAAGCCCCTTAAAAGGTGATGGCATACGCGGATATGGCATGTACAGGATGGCAGGGGCATATGCATTGTAGTTGAGCCGTTTCTTGTATGTGTGGTGAATATTCACTGCGCTACTCCCCCTCTCCCTCCCTTTCTCTCACTCCCTATCTCCCCCGCTCGTGCCCATGGCCCTCTTTCCCTAGTGGCAAGTGGCAGAAGCTGCTCTTCCGCCATCCACCCACCGCCCGTCTCCCTCCAGCCATCTCTGCCGCCCTGCAGCCGCCCCTGCCGCCCGCTGCCGGGCCGCCCACGTACGTGGAGGTGGAGATGTTGGTGCCGGTGGTGGGCAGGCAGGGCGGCATGAAGCGGCGGGGGAGGGGTGGGGGGAGTGTGGGCCGGGCGAGGGGTTTAGAGGAGAGAGGAACAGGCAGGGGAACTGATGGTGGGAAAAATATGGTAGGTGGTGAGGGGGATGAAGGTGGGATGGGCGAGGGGGGGCGGAAAAAGGGTGAAGGGGAAGGGGAGGAAACCTTGAGGGGTGGTGGGGCAGCAGGGAGTTGTGGCAGCGGGCAGGCAGGGCAAGCAAGAGGTGGTGAGAGGGAACATCCGGGCGATGTGTCTGCAGCAGGGCGCGAGAAGAAGGGCAAGGGACGAGGAGGCGAGGCGGGCGCAGAGGGAGGGAGTGGCGCAGTGCATGTGCACGGGGGGCAGGAGGGAGTGTTGCGAGTGCGGTTGCTGGTGGACTCGCGACTCGCCATGCTGCCGCTCTTCCACCCGCCTCCTCTGCACCTCCTCTCCTCTCGGTCCGTTCCCTCTCCTGCCCCTCACTCATGAGCTCTGCGTCTTCATCTCACCTGTGCTGTCATGCCATGTCGCATTGTGCCAAATGGCAACTCGTGCCTGCCACCATCTGCCCGCTCCCACAGCACAGCACATTGAAACATTGCAATGTCGCGTGGCTCGATGCAGTGCAGCATCTTCCCGGTCTCTTGATGAGAAGCTGTTGCATAGGGGCCACGTGTCCATGTTTTGATTATACTTACTCATCCCCTTGCCATGCTCCTTCGATCTTCTCCCTTGTATCTCTCTCTCTCTCCTCCTCCCTTCCTCCCCTCACCACAACGTGCCTTTCCTCCCCTCCCGGCTCCCTCCCCGCTACAGCATCCGGCAACTGCTCCCTGCCCACCAGCCATCGCTGCTGCCCTCGCCACCCAACCCACATCCCCCATCTCGCCAACCACGCCCCTTCACGCTCCCCACCCACAATCCCGCCAGTGCTGCGCCTCTTACCGCTGCGCCCTCTCTCCACCCGGCCCCTCCCTCCCACCCTCCTGCCTCTTCCATTCCCCCCGCCTCTTTTTCGCCATCGCCACCGCTCTCCTCTCTCCCCCTTGCGCTGCCTCATCGCCTCGAGCTTGCTGCACCTCTCTCCTTCCTCCGAATGCTGCCCAGGTAACGCCCTCTGCCCACTACCCCCTCCCCCTCTTTCCCCCCACACCCCCACTCCCTCATACACCCCTCCCCCCGTTCTGTACCCTCCTAACCTAGACACATGGGTGCCTGCACTCACTGCATTCTCTCTGCATCGTATCTCTTTTTGTTCCTCGCAACACCCCTTCTCCCTAATCACTCTCCTTGTGTGTTCGTCTGCCCCTTCATCCCCATGCCCTCATCACAGGCCGCCCCAACCCAAGCCATCCACCCATCCCCCCGTTCCGCCACCACCCACCCCTCACCGCTCCCCTTCCCCTCCTCCCTCGCCCCACCCCACCACTCCTGCCTCCCCTCCCCCTGCGCCCGCGCCTCCTCCTGTCCCCTCCGCTGCTGTTGAAGCTGCTACTGCCGCCAAGGAAGGGCAGGAGGGGGGTGAGCAAGGCAGGGAGGCGGAAGGGGGGCGGAGTGGCAAGTCAATGGGCACGTGGCAGGTGGTGGCGGTGGGGCGGGGGGAGGCGGAGGGTGGTGGTGATGGCAGGGATGGGGAGAGTGGGTCTCAGGCACTGGCGAGCAGAGACGAGGATGGGCAGGTGAGAGGCATGGGGCATGGGGCATGGGGCATGGGGTATGAGGCATGGGGCATGGGGCATGGGGCATGGGGTATGAGGCATGGGGCATGGGGCATGGGGCATGGCTAACTGGTTGTGGTTGCTAGCTGCATGGCGTATGGGCATGTGTGCATTGTTGCCGGTTGCTGGTAGCTGCGTGTGTGCATGCATGTGCTTGTGCATACTAGCCAGCCATCTCCACCGTCTCTCATCTGCACACTAACCCTCACCACTCCCCTCTCCCCTCCCCCCCTCATCTCCTCTCCTCACCCATCCTCTCCTCTTTCCTTCTCGCCTCCTCCCCACCTCCCCCCTCCCGTGCTCTCCCCATCACCCACAGCAGCGCAGCAAGAGGGCGCGCACGACTCCCCCCACCATAGGCCTCGATGCCATGCGTGAGCCAGACCTCTTCTGGTCCCACCCGCTCAACGCCTGGTTCCTAGGCCCGGGAGAGGCTGGGGCCGAGCCTGGTTCCGAGGCTGAGGGCGGGGGCGGGGGCGAGGGGGCGTTGGAGGTGGTTCTGGGCGTGCAGCAGCTGGTGGCGGTGCTGGATGAGGTGGATGGGCAGGTGGTGGCGGGCATGCGCGCCGAGGGGGGCATGGGGGCTCTGCTGGCCGAGGAGGATGGCGATGAGCAGTGGCTGGGCGAGGTGAGTGCTGCTGGGAGGCAGGGAGCGGTGCGAGGTGGAGGTGTGAGGGGGAAGGGGAGAGTGCGGGCTGTGAGCAGCATATTAGGCGAGTGCTGGGGGAGATGGAGGTGTGGGTGTGATGCATGAGAGGCAAGTCACTTTGTGCGCTTCCTCATACATCTGTGACCACTGGCATCAGTGTCACTTCATGATCCACTGCCACTTCTGCTGCTGGCCGGGCCAAGTTTCCCTGTCTCGTACTCTCCTTCTGCCCTTCCTCTCTGCCGTCACCTCCATACGCTCTCAACCTCTTTCCCCCCTTTTCTCAACATCTTCTTTCCCTCAGCCCACTTTCCCCTCTTCACCCAAGCCGTGCCCTCTCCCACTCCCCTCCCCGTCCATTCCCCCAGCTACCCGGGGAACCTCCTCCCACCGCTCTCCACACTGCACACCTCACCACGCACGGCGCACCGCACACACGCGGCCATGACAGCACAGCATCCGCATCCCGGGCATCTCTGGCCCTGCGTGCAGGGCGCAGGGCGAGGGCCATTCGCCTGGAGCAGCGCGTGCAGAATGAAGCAGAGGTGCTGCTGCCGCCTACATACACTGCTGCTGCCAGCGCTGGGAAGGCACACGCACGCACTGCAGGAGCAGCCGCATCGGTACAGGGGGGTAGTGAACAAGCGATGGCAGGGGCAGGGGCTGTGGCAGGTGCAGGGCATTTGAACAGTCGCGCAGATGGAAGTGTGGGCGTGGAGGTGTTGAGGGAGGGGAAGGGAGCGAAGGAAGGGAAAGCGGAGGGTGAAGCAGCGGGGGCTAGAGGCGCAGCAAGAGACGGAGCCCCTTCGAGGTTGTACCGTAGCAGCGTTCCTGCCTTTGCCCGGCGGGTGCTGCTGTGCCCGCCAGACCCACTTGCTGCTCCTGCCCCTGTGCCCGACCACTCCCACCTTCCGTCTGGCTCAACTGCTGCCGTGCACCCTGTGGGTTCATCCCAGCATGGCAGCTCCATGCCTGCTGCTACCAGCAGCACCAGCACCACTAGCAGCCGGCAGCGGTACGTGTATTCAGAGCTGCCACCGCCGCCTCTTACCGCATCTCTCCCCGCATTGCCACCGCACTCAGCTTCTGCCACCGCCCCCTCCTGCCCCGCCACTCCCCCTCTCTCTGATCAACCCCTGTACCGGGCGTCATTGTTCTCGCCCCTGCCTGGGGCACCCCTGCACGCCTCTGCTGCTGCCGCTCCTCCCCCTGGCGGCACGATAAGCAGGCCTGGGGGGGGCATGCCCCCTGCTGCTGCTGCTGCAATGCGTGATGTGGGGGGTAGTGGCAGTGGCAGTGGTTTTTCTGGCGCTGGTGCTGGCGCCGCTGCTGCTGCTGGGGCAGGTGGGGTTGGTGCGGCGGGGGGGCAAGTGCTGGGGGCGAGTGATGGTGCGAGGGAGAACAAAGGTCTGCCGCCCTGCACGCCTTATGAGCTGGTGCCTGCTGTGGTGTTGACTAGGCCGGGAGCTGGGGTTGACACAGATGTTGATGGTATGAAAGTGGAAGGGGTGGTGGTGAGTGAGGAGCGGATGGGCGTCACAGGGGAAAGGCTTGCTGTGAAAGGGGAGGAAGGGAAGGGAAGGGATGCGAGGGAGGGTTTGAAAGGAAGATTGAAGAAGGGCGAGCAGAGGCCAGGTGAGGCGGAGAGGAAGCGTAAATTCGTGAGGTTTGTGGGAGTTGACGGGGACGAGGAGGCGGCTGCTGATCCAGATGGCGGGACGGCGAAGCGGCAAATGAGGCGCACCAAAGGAGGCAGACCGAGCATGGTGAAGACAGAAGTGGGTGGCCCGGTGGTAGGGACGCAGAAGGTGAAGAAAGGGAGGCTGTCAGGGAAGACGACGGGAAAGAAGGGTGGGAAGGTGGGCAAGACAGGGAAGGCGGCACGTGCGCTGCGAGAGGGGAAGGTGGCTGGTGCTGGGGATGGAGTGAAGGGAGGACGAGGTGTTGCGAGGTCAGTCAAGGTGGGTAACGCGGATGATAGGAAGGTGACTGGAGTCAAGGTTGGGGAGAGGAGGAAGGTGAAGGTGAAGGGGAAGGGGGAGTTGAAGGGGAAAGGGAAGGGGAAGGGGGAGGGGAAAGGGGAGGTGAAGGGGAAGGGGAAGGGGGAGGTGAAGGTGAAGCGGAAGGGGGAGGGGAAAGGGGAGGTGAAGGGGGAGAAGAAGGGGAAGGTGAAAGGGGAGGGGAAGGGGGAGGCTAAGGGGAAGGGGAAGGTGAAGGAGAAAGGGAAGGGGGAGGTAAAGGTGAAGGGCAAGAGGAAAAGGGAGGTGAAGAGGAAGGGGGAGGTGAAGGGGAAGGGGAAGGTGAAGGGGAAGAGGAAGGGGGAGGTGAAGGGGGAGATGAAGGGGGAGATGAAGGGGAAGGGGAAAGGTAAGGGGAAGGGGGAGGTGAAGGGGAAGGGTAAAGAGGTGGTGAAGGGGAAGGGTAAGATGAAGAAAAAGGTTAAGGGGGAGATTAAGGGGAAGCGGAAGGTGAAGGGGAAGGTGAAGGGGAAGGGGAAGGGGAAGGTGAAGGGGAAGGTGAAGGGGAAGGGGAAGGGGAAGGTGAAGGGGAAGGTGAAGGGGAAGGGGAAGGTTAAGGGACCAAAAACGAAGGTGCGTGGTGTTGGGGATACAGGCAAGCGCGCTGTGAAGAAGAGGAGGATGAAAAGCATCAAGGGGCGGCACAAGGGCGAGCGTGTAAGACGCCGGGTGGTGAAGGGTGGTGGAGTGCGGTTGAAGAGGAAACTGGCACACAGAGGGAGAAGACAGCAGCAGAGGGGAGGTCGAATGGCGCGGCGATGGCTGCTGGGGGCGGAAGTGAGTGTGGGGCGGTGTGGGGGGGACAGCAGGGAGGAGTGGGAAGCGATGCCTGTACTGGGGCTGCGGGAAGAGATGAGCATGATCAAGCTCTTGCTCTCTCATCCGCTCGCCCAGGCTAAAGGCAACGACGATGTGTGTGAATGTGGTAGGGCAAGTGGGACAACCAGGAGCATGGCACACTCGCTGGGGGGCAGTGTGCAGGCAGGGAATGCACATGGTGCTGCTGCTGCTTCTGCAGCGGCAGGAGCAGCAGCTGCCGCTACTCATGCTGCTCCTGTTGTTGTTCCCGGTGGTGGTGGTGCTGCTGCTGCACCTGCTCCTGCTTCTGCTGCTGCTGCTGCTGCTGCTGACGCGGTGCCAGCACCAGAGCAGCTGTCCCATCCAGCCCCTGCTTATGATTCAACAGCAGCAGAAGCGCAGCAACCACCGAATACCACACACAACCCCTCCACAACCCCAACATCCCTGCAACCACCATCTGAACCCCCATCAGCAGCAGCAGCACGAGCAGCAGCAGCAGCAGCACCAGTGGTGCCGTGTGCCATGGTGCGGCAGGCAGAGGCTCTCAGGGACCCCTCTCTGGACACGGCTTTGCTGGCAGCAGCAAACGGCAGGTGTCCCTGGTGTGCGCGCCGCTTGCCCTCTCCCCTCACCGCTTTTTCTGCGTCAACCCAGCAGCGCCAGGGCTTGTGGTCCGGCACACATGGGGAATCGCCGCTGCTCGCCCTCTGTGGGGATGCTGCTGTGGTTGCCGCTGGTGCTGGTGGCAATGGAAGCAGCAGCAGCAGCAGCAGTGCGGGGCAGCGTATCCTTGCCAGCCTGCAGGGGCCTGTGAGTGACATAGCTTACGGTGGGCTGGCCGCTTGTGCCTCACACATTTCTCTGCTGGAAGGGTCTGGGGCTTGGGATAGGAAGGGCTGCAAAGTGCTGGGGGGAGGTTCTGCTTTCCTTTCTCTTCCTGATCTCTGCTGCGCCTCACGTTCCACCTCTCTGATTCTCTCCCCTTGCCCACTCCCCCTCACCCCGCCTCCGTGAATATGCACAAGTACATTTCTGTATGGTAACTCTTGAGGCGCCTCAAAACGCATATCCATATGTTAAGACGTAAATCCTTGCATGTGTGCTTGTCTGCTTCCTCCCACCGTCACCCCCACAGCTGCCGTCACCGCTGACCGCTGCGCTGCTGGCGGGGGAAGTGAAGTCGCTCCTCCTCGCTGCCTTTGGCTCCCGCCGCCTCACCGGCCCGCTCTCTCTCCCCGGCCTCGCTGCTCCCACCCGCCCCACGCCCCCCGTCCCCACCCCCACAACTTCCCCCGCCGCCTCCCCCTCTCCCTCCCCCACTCCCCCCGCTCCCCCCACCACCATGAAGCCACCTTCCCCTAGATCCCAACCCCAACTCGCGCCTGCTGCCACTGGTGCTGCAGCAAAGGTGGCGGAGGAGGTGCAGGGAGAAAAGGTTGTGGGGAGTGGAGGAATGGAGAAAGCGGCACTGGCGGAGAGTCCTATGGGGAAGGCAGGGGTTGGTGCAAGTGATGTGGGGAAGGGTGGGGTGGATGGGGGGGGGGATGGTGGGCGGCAGGTAAGGGGTGCGGATGGGGATGCGAGAGTGAGGGAGGAGGTGGAGGAGGGGGAGGCTGTGGAGATGGAGGAAGGGGAGGCGAGGGAGGAGGGGGCCGTGGAGGAGGGTGAAGCAGTGGAGGTTGAGAGGAGGGGGATGGGAGAAGCGGAGGAGAGCAGGGGCACACGGGAAGTGAGGTGGGAGGGGGTGAAGGGCGGGGGTGGTGAGGAGGGGAGGGTCGGGAGCAAAGGGGTGAAGGAGGAGGGTGAGGCAGGGGTGGTGGGTACAACGGCCGGTGCGAGTGGGGGGGTGGCGGAGGGTAAGGGCGTGGGCGCACGTGGGGAGGAGGAGGAGGGGGAAAGGATGAAGAGGAGTGGCGCGGGCGGAGGGGTGGAGGCAGAGGGCGGTAAGGAGGTGGAGGGGAGTAAGAAGACGGAAGGGAGAAAGGAGGTGGAGGGTGATGAGGAGGAGGCAGGGAGCAGAGTGCGGAGTGTGGTGGCGCTGTGTCCGCCAGCAGTGCTGGTGGGGTATCAGGACGACTGGCTTGCCACCTCGCCCTCGCTGCTCCGCCTCTGGGACAAGGCGCCCTTTGAACCCTACTGCCTGCCTAAACCCGTACGCCCTGTCACACCTCTCACATGCACACCCACCCACCCTCCTGCGCTCCTGTGCTCCTTTTCTGTACTACTCATCACACCCCGCAGTCTCTTGCTTCTCTGTTCCTGACTGGCCCCAAGGGTTCGTTCCTCATACTTTCGTCCCCCACCCCCCCTTCCCCACGCATCCACTCTCTCGCCTTCCTTTACAGCAGCTTCGTCCTTTTCCACGTTTATCGCCATCCCTCCCTCCCTGCAACTCCCCATCCCTTCAACTCCACTCCCCACCACACCCTGTCAACCCCCCCTTTTCACCCCCACACCGCATTGTGCCGTGGCAGCTATCGGTGCTGGCCATCTGCCCCGCGCTGCCTGCCCTCGCTCGCCCCCTCCGCCCCTTCCTCTCTGACCTCGCTTCAGGTGATGCCCGCTCTCGCCATCTCTCACTCCTCCCTACGCTCCACATTCAACCTCTCTTACCTCCCTCCCTACTCTCCATCCGCCCTGTACCCCCACGGCGATGTTGTTTCTAAGTCAGACTAATGAATAACGTAGCAGTGTGATGTGATATTTGTGCGCCTCGCCTACAACCAATTGCCTCCGTCCATCCAACCACCCCCCCACACTGCATTCCCCTCTTAACACTCATCCAATCTCGCTTCACCGTTCCGCACCGCGTCCTTCCCCTCCCCGTGCGCCCATTACAGTGTACGAAGCATGTTCCCTGGGCACCTTCTCCCCGCTGCTGCCGCTCTCCCCCGCCCCCGACCACCACCACCCCCCGGGCATGCTACCAGTGCCGATGCCCCCTGCCCACCTGCCCCCGGCCCGCGCCGTGGGTGCTTTCAGTGACGCCTTGGCAGCTGCCCTTGCCAAGCTGCCTCGGACTGCCCTCTTCCCCCCCACCAACTCCACCGACCCTGACCTTTGCCCCTCCACGGTGCACCCCCTGCCCTGCCTTTGACCCCATTCTCACTCACTCACTCAATCACTCACCACCCTTCTGTTCAGATTGCTCGTTTTCCCTCCTTCCTCGCTCCCTCGTTTCCTCCTTCCGCCCCTCTACTCTTGCTTGTCCGCGGCTGTCCCTCTCTGCCTCGCTGTTCCTCTCGTTCCATCGGCCCCTCTTGGCGCATGCATCTAAAGCTGACTCAGCCTGACTCGCTCCATGCCGCCATTTCCCCTCGTCAACCAATGAATGAATCAAACAAGTCATGAATCAAACAAGTCATGAATCAAACAAGTCATGAATCAAACAGGTCATGCATTTTCCACCGCATAATTGCCACTCAGCCTACCCAACCCTCTTCCTCCCCCTCCCGTCCTCCCCTTCCTTTGCTTCGCTCCCCTTCCTCGCCTCTCCCTGGTGTGGTGCGATCAGCTGCTCCTGCTGGTGTGCCCCTGGACATCCCCTGGGGCGTCCCTCTCCCTCTTCCTCCGCACTGCTGCCCACACCCACGCCCTCACGCTCGCTGCTGCCAAAGGTACCACCATTGCTTGTATGTTCGCTCTCATATGCCCCCCTCTGCCTCAATGCGTACTCAGTGGATGGATGGTATGTCATACCTGCATGCCACTCACATCACTTCCCTTCATCTGCTCCTCCTGCCCACTCTACCTGATTCCATCCCTGCTCCCTCCTCACTCCGCGTGAATTTACTCCCCAACCTTATTATCTTCTCCCTTCCCATCCTCCTACCCCTCACGCCCCCACACCCCACTGTCCCTCCTCCCCGCACTCGCCACAGACTCATCTGGGTCAGCATTACCCACAGCCGCCCATCCCACTGCTCCGCCCAGTCTCACGCTCTTCCCGCGTCCGCTCACAGTGCATCTGCTGCCCATGTCCCACGTGCTCTCCCTCTCACACTCTGCACGCGCCAGCTCCCTTCGTCAGCTCGCCTTCTCGCTCTTCTCCAAAGTCAGACGCTCCCTCCTCCCGCTGCCACACTGCCCTGCTCAATCTGACGGGGGAAATGCAGCAGCAGGAGCAGGAGCAGGAGGAGGGGGAGGAGGCGGAGAAGCAGGAGCAGGGGCAGGGGCAAGAGCAGGAGAGGGCGTGGGAGGGATGGGGGGAAACGAAAAGGTGGTGGAGGGGAGAGGGGGGCGAGACGGCAGCAGTCACGGCGGGACGAGTTCTGGGGTGCCAGCAGGCAGCGGGGCTAGCATGGGGGGCGTGGGAGGGGGTGTGGTGAGGAGCAGTGGTAGTGGTGGTAGCAGTGGCGGTGGTGATGGGGGCGGGGATAGGGATGTGCTAAGTGAGTTGGCGAGGAGGGGAGGGGGCGCAGGGGCTATTGGAGTGAGGGGAGGGATCATGGATCGCCTCAGCAGACAGCCCATGCAGTCGCCCGCTGCTGCAGCAGCACCAGCAGGATCAGGCATCCCAGCAGCAGCAGGCGCAGCAGCAGAGGCAGCTCCTGCACACGCAGCAGCAGCAGAAGCAGCAGCAAGAGCAGCAGGGGGTTCTAGTAGTGGTGGTGCTGCACCAGAGGCAGACTGCAAGAGTGCGCCTGGTTCTCATCCCACGCCTGCACCCGCCCCCTCCTCCGCCCCTCCGTCCCTGGCACCCACCACCCCCTCGCTGCTCCACGAGCCGCCCTTCATCCTCGCCTCCCCTGGTTCTGCCTCTTCCTCTCTCTCCCTGCCCTGCCCTTCCCGCACCCGTAGTGCTGACGGGGGGGAGCAGAGAGCAGCGAGCAGCGTGCAAGGGCAGGCGGTGGGGAGTTCAGTAGCTCCCAAGGTGGAGCAGCAGGGGAGGAGCGAGTGCAAGGCGGGATGGCCCAGGGAGAGGGTGAGCGGTCACCCTCCCGTCTCCCCGTCTCTCACTCCTGCTGCTGCTGCTTCTGCTTCTGCTGTGCCCGGGACCACAGCAGTGGGAGGCACGGCGTCGCAGCAAAGTGCAGCAGCAGCGCAAGGCGCATGGGTGGGTGGGGTGGCAGGAGGGCGTGCACGGGTGACCGGGGCAGCACCGGCGCCCACCAGTGGAGCAGGGGGGGCCACAGGAGGCGCAGCTCCGGGGCACAAGGGACCCCTGGCGCTGCACTGCGTGTACATGTGGGGGGATGACTCTGCGCCTGATGCTCCTTCCGCTCCTGGTGATTCAGGCACGGCCAGCACTTGTGGCGTGGATCACCCCTTGGGCCTCCCAAGTGCGACACTGAAGAGAGTGAAGGGGCGTGGAGCGGGCAGCAGGGCAGGGGCGGGGGCAAGGGTGCCGTGGGTGGTGGCGGTGTGGACAGACTCTCGGGGCGAATTGCTTGAGACCCGCGTGGTGCATGGCCGGGCACATGCTGGGGCGGACGGGGAGGCTGGAGAGGCCGCGGAGGGTGGGCAGAGTGAGAAGGGAGGGGAGTCTGGGGAGGGGATGAGGGGTGGTAGCGGAGGTGTGGGTGATGGAAGGGGAGAGGGGGAGGGTGGGGATGGAGGGAGGGATGTGCAGGGTGTGGCGGAGGGCGGGGTTGGAGGTGGTGGAGAGGGAGGGAGAGAGGCTGATGGAGTGGGTGGGGGTGGGGAGGGAGGTGACGAGGAGATGAGGAGAGATGGGTGTGGCGTGGAGGCGGAGAGAAAGGATGGGATGGAAGTGGATGGTGGGGCGGGCATGGGGGAAAGTGGTGGTGGGGGGGTGACAGGAGTAGCGGAAGGTAGAAATGATGGGACTGAGGGCACACCTGGAGGGACAGGGACAGCTGCAGCAGCAGAAACGGCAAGAGCATCAGCTGCAGCACCAGCAGCGGCAGCCACAAGAGGAGCAGAATCAGAACCAGCAGCAGCAGGGGCAGCAGCAGGGGAAGCAGGGGCAGCAGAAGGGGCGGCAGCAGGGGCAGCAGGAGGGGCGGCAGCAGGGGCAGCAGGAGGGGCAGCAGCAGCATCTGTGTATAAGCTTGCTGTCCAGACGTCTCCTGCTCTCCCCGTCAATACTCCCAGGAGCAGTAGCAGTGCGCGCGGGGCAGGCACGAGGGCGTGGGTGGGGCGAATGCAGAGCGTGTTGGAGCAGGTGCTGCAGGTGGGCGTGGAAGTGGTGGCGCTGCTGCAGCACAAGGCACGCCTGCAGGCGGGCACGGATGCGGACAAGGGGCAAGGGGAGGGGGGGAAGGGGAGGGAGCGTGGTGGGGAGGGAGGGGAGGAGGATTGGTGGATGGCCCAGCGGCCGGTGTATGTGGTGAAGGCGGGCCAGGGGATGACACGCGCGGAGCTGCAAGGTACGGATTCACTCCATGCCATGTGCTGTCACGTGCCCCTTAAAGTCACATGCCATGTCTCTCTGCGTTGATTTGTCTCCATGCATACCATAGTAATAGAGGATGGTGTTTCATTCCCCTGCGCCCACCCAATTTAATTCCATGCCTTATGCATTTGTGCCTGTACGTGTGTGCATGTGTCTTCGCGCCCGCGCGTGCATGTGCATGTATCAGCATGGGAGCAAGCCATTTCGTCGCTCTCCTCCTCCTCCTTCCGGCCAGTTTTCTCCGCCTCTACCCACGGCTCCACCCACCCACCACCACGCCACCCAACGTCCAGCAGCCGCACAACCCATGCAGCAGCCGGCAAGGCAACACAGGCACAGGCAGGCAGAAACACCGCACAAGGACGACCAACAGCAACTGCTGGAAGGGCAGAGGGGAGGAAGGAGGGCTCTCTGGTTGCACAACCAACCCCAGCCCAGCCCATGCCTGTGCGCCCACCCTCACAGCCCGCCTCTGCGTCCCTCCCCCCCCACGCGCCGGGGCACGAGGGAGAGCAGGTGCAGGGCCGGGCGTCTCAAAAAGCTGGGAGCAGCACTCCTGCTGTCGCCCACGCTCCAGCTGCCTCTAACCCCCTTTCCCACGCCGCTGCCCTTGCAGCCGAACCCTCCCCTCACCTGTCCGGCCAGGGAGCAGACGAGCAGGAGAAGGGACCGGAGAGCCATGGGGTGGCTGTGGGGGGTGAGGGGGCGGGTGTAGCAGAGGGGTCGCGGGAAGGGAGTGCGCGGGTGGAGGGACACCCTGGGGTTGGGACGGTGAGAGAGAGAGTGCCGGGTGTGTGGCAGGGCATTGCAAGCGTGACCGTTGCATGGCTGCATGTGGTGCCACAGCTGCAACTCATGTCAATACCACCGCCACCCCCATCCCCCACTCCCTCTCCTGCCCCTGCACCTGTTCCCTCTGTCCTTACCCCTTCCTTCCCTTCGCCCGCTCTCGTTCCCGCTGCCTCCCCTATTCTCTCCCCCATGCAACCACACCCATCCCGCCCCACTCCATTCCCGTCCCCACTAGCCACGCGCCACACTGCCACCACCCCCACCACACTCCCCCTTTCAGAACCATTCTCCCCTCCCCTTGCACCCCTGCCCCCATCCTCCCGAGCCACTTCCTCCCCCATCCCCCTCCATCCCCCTCCTCTCCCCCACTCGCCCTTCCCCCACGCACCCTTCCCCCCCCGCATCCCCCATGAGCGCACACACCCCCTGCACCCGCCACTGCCCTCACCGCCCCTGCATGGCGCAATCGCAATCCCACCCCGGGGTCCCTTGCAGACTCCCCAGCAGCACGGGGCAGGATCTACTCTGCTGCTCGTGCCCCATGCTCCATGGATCGACCTCTCCACCCCTGCACACTCCCCCTGCAACCCTCCGTACTTCCCTCCCACTCCTCTGCACCGCTTGCGCCCCCCCAAGCGTGTGCGCCCTGCTCTGGGCCGGCTCCAGAAACCCAAGCGGAAGAAGCAGCGTGTGCCGTTGCTGTTACCCCCCCCACCTCCTCCCCCTTCCCCCTGCGCCCCGCTCCCCCTACCCCTGCGCCCGCTTGTGGTGGCTCAAGTAACACGAGCGCTGCTGTTGCGACTGAGGCGGCAGCAGGAAGAGGGGATGAGGAAGGGGAAGCGGGGTAAGTTGATAGGAGGGGTTAAGGGAAGGACGAAAGGTGGAGTGGTAGCAGTGGGTGTGAGAGGGAGGAAAGGCAGCAGGGGTGAAGGAAGCAAGAGTGAAAGGATCAAGGACAAAACAAGCAAGGGGAAAGCAGGTGAAGAGATTAAGACCAAATTAGGCAAGAGGAAAAGGGTTGTTGGGAGCAAGGGTGAAAGGAGTAAGGGAAAAAAAAGCAAGGGGAAATCAGGTGAAGGGATCAAGGCCAAATTAAGCAAGAGGAAACGGGTTATAGGGAGCAAGGGTGAAGGGGGCAACGATAAAGGGAACAAGGGTAAAACGATTAAGGACAAAGAGGGCAAGGGAGAAGGGGGTGAAGGGAGTAAGGGCAACGAGAGTAAGGGTAAACGGAGCACGATCAAAAGTGGTGGAGTCAAGGCGAGAGGAGAGAAGGTGGTGAAGCAGAACATGCGAAATCAGGCGACGGGGAAGGAGGCGAAGGGGACGGGGGAAAAGGGGAAGAAGGCGAAGGGGACGGGGGAAAAGGGGAAGGAGGCGAAGGGGACGGGGGAAAAGGGGAAGGAGGCGAAGGGGACGGGGGAAAGGGGGAAGGAGGCGAAGGGGACAGGGGAAAAGGGGAAGGAGGCGAAGGGGACGGGGGAAAAGGGGAAGGAGGCGAAGGGGAAGTGGAAGAAGAAGGAGGGTAAGAAAGAAGAGGGGAAGCAGACGAAGGGGAAGAAGAAGAAGGTGAAGGTGAAGAAGGGTAAGGAGAAGGGGACGAGGGAGGGTAAGGAGAAGAAAGGGAAGGAGAACAAGGGGACGAAGGAGGGGAAGGAGAATACGGGGAAGGAGAAGAAGTCAGAGGGGAGGTTGAAGAAAGTGAATGTGCATGGAGTGGAAGAGGGAGTTAAGGGCGTAAAAGGGCAGGGGAAGGTCAAGGAGCTGGGTACAGGGAAGCTGAAGGGTGGGACGATGATGATGAAGAAGAAGAGTGTGACAATCGGGAAGAAAACAGGTGGTTCCAGTAAGACCAAGACAGGTGCTGCTAGTGCAAAGAAAGCAGGTACGGAGACAGGTATTGCCAGAGGGAAGAAAACAAGTAAGAAGATAGGTATTGATAGTGGGAAGAAGAAGGCAAGCCGTGCTGGTAAGAAGGTGGGCGGGAAAAGCAGTGGCAGCAATGAGCGGAAGTCAGTGCGACGAAAGATAAAGCTGGGCAAGGCCCGGAAGGCAGGGAGATGGGGTGTCACAGCATCAAAAGTGCAGAAGGTGGCAGGCAGGCAGGCAGGCAGGGCGAGAGGCCATGGCAAGAAGGGGCGGAAAGAGGCAAGGAAGGAATGGAGGCAAGTGTGGCGGGAAAAGATGCGCGAGGTGGGGCGTGTGGTGCGAGAGCTGACTGGTGGGGAGGACGATGGGCACGAGGGCGTGCGTGGTGTGGCCACAGCAGTGATTCTCAGCACGGCGACACACCGAGGGTGTGCCGGAGGGGAGGGGGGGACGGCAGCAGGGGCAAGCGGTGCAGCAGCGGCATGGCTGGGGCTGGAGGGGCTATCGGTGGGAGCAGCACAGGAGGCGTTTCGGCTAGGCTTGCCCTGGCAGGGTGCGTACCAGCCTGCTGTGACTAATAGTGGATTCGTCTCCCGCTCTTCTTTCTCTGGTGGCAGTGGCGGTGGGGGCTTGGGTGCGCGGCTGGGGTCACATGGAGCAGCACATGCAAATATCACAGCTGCGAGCAGTGCAGCTGTTGCTTCCTATCCCTTTCCTGCCCCAGCAGCATCAGCAGCGACAGCAGTAGCAGCAGTGGGAGGTGGTGGTGTAATGGCAGGAGGGATCGGGTGTGGTGCTGGGGGAGGGGTGGTGGCTGTTACTGTTGCGGCTCACTTCATCGCAGGGATTGCTGTTGCTGACGCACGACAGAAGGTCGGGGAAGCGGAAGGCAAGCAGGAGGGACGGAACGGCTCGATTCAGGACAGGAGAGGCAAGCGTGCGGTGGGTAGAGGTGCTGATGAGCGACAGAGGGCGGGTGGTGGAGTGACAGACAGTGTGAGGAAAGAGGGCGAGGGGCGGGAAGATGTGGGAGTGGGAGTGAAGCGAGGGAGGGAAGAGGAGGGCAGTGGGGCAGCAGGGGCGGAGCAGGGGGGAGAGGAGGGGATTGCTGGGGGTATCAGAAAGCGGCAGCGGGTGGAGGCACCAGGTGTAGCGGCAGGGGCCGGTGGTGGGGGAGGTGGGGCGAAGGAGATTAAGGTTGGGATGAAGGAGGGCAAGGGTGGGGAGGGTAGTGTGGATGGCAGGAGGGGGGAGGGTGTGGAGTGCAAGGGTGTGGAGATGGGTTCGCGGGTACAAGGCAGTGGTGATGGCAGGGCGAGTGCAGAGCACAGAGAGGCAGCTCCAGGGACGTCTCCAAAGGCGAGTGGTGCACAGAGAGAGGCCCAGACTGGGGATGGCGGGGAGACAAGAGGGCAGGCACGACACAGGAATGACAGGGACATGGGCAGCGAGGGAGGACGGGAGGGAGAGGAGCAGGGGAAACAGAAGAGTGTCGCAGGCAGCAAAGGGGGTGAGAAAAAGGATGGTGAAGTGGGTGAGAGTGAGTGGTGGGAGGCGGCAGCAGATGCGGAGGTAAGGCGCGTGGCACAGCAGCTGGGAGCAGAGCTGCATGCGCTCTCCTGGCTCTCCGTGTCCCCTGCCAGCCCCTCCCCGCTCTCCCACCTCCCCTTCCACTTCCTTGTGGCCACCCGCCTGCTGCTGCTGCTGCAGCACGTGCCGTGCGCTGCACCTGCGTATGTACCAAGCGGGGCGATGGGTGGTCTTGGTGAGGAGGAGGTGGGTGTGGGTGTGGGAGGAGGGGGAGAGGGTGGTGGTGCAGCGCGTGGAGGGGAGCAGGTTGAGCAGGCAGCAAACGTGCGAGCGCACAGTCAAGGCACATGCTTCTGAGAAAGCAAGGCATTTGTAGAAGTGAATCGTGATTCAAGTACACCTTGCTCCTCCTGCCGTGTCTCTAAGCTGCAGTCTACAGCCTTCTAACATGCACTGGCGCACTAGGCTAGTCTAATCCATTTATGTCACGCATGAAACCAAGTTGCGCAACAGTTTTTGTCTGCCATATCTCCGAATAATTTCTCTTATTGATACTGGTATATTGGAACTATATCGGCTCTATTCCTTCCACCAGTGGCAAGCATAAACGTGTGCTCGCCCAGCAAAGGTCTGCATGTTCTGCAGAACCAAACCATGCTCCATCCTCCAGATTCACACATGCTATATTACAAGTGGCCCGTGCCACTCACCCCCAACAGAATACCTTCTACTCTTGCTACTCTACCTATCTCCAACTTTGTCAAGCGCCAACCCGTTCTGGTACTAGTATCTCCCCATCCTGCCCTTGGCAGGTCATCTTGGCACAGTCAAGAGACAATCCATTGCCGGAGCATTTGTGGGAGGTCAACGCGGCTGGACATCATGGGTTTATTGACAGCCCACGCATCATCCCCCGTGGTGCAGTGCGCCACGGCGCTGAAGAGAAACGCCTTCATCTTGCTGCCCGCCGTGTTGCGCTCCTTCACCACATCCCGCACCGTCTGCTCCATGCCGCGACTATACCGTGCCAGAACATCCGCTGTGCTCTTTGGGCACGCCGCCACGTTGCCGCGCCGCATGCATGCGCGGATGGGAGCGCCCTCGGGGATGGTTTCTGGGGCGAGGGTTTTAGCGATGCCTGAGTAGTCGAGGATGCTCTGCACGAGGAAGAGCGGCGTGCGCACGAAGTGCAGCCCGTACTGCGGGAAGAAGCACTTCCATGTCTCGTTGCGCGCCGCGTAGTCTGGTGGCGGTGCAGGGAGGAGAGGGGGGAGAGGAGAGGGGGTGGTGGGATGGGAGGAGGGGATTGTGAGGGGTGGGCCGAGAGAATGAGGGGGTGGAGATCAGGCATTCTAGAGGAGAATGTGGGAGAAGGGGAAACGGGAAGAGCAGCAATGGTGGGAGGCCAAGAATGGAGGAGTGAGGCACATACGGGGGCATATGCATGGCCACGAGCACGAGCATGGGACGGACACTTGGCACATGTGTGATGCATGCATGCCAGCCTCCATACAGTACAGGGGATGGCAGGCGGGGGTTGCGAGTGGGTGGAGGAGCGAATGAGGTGCTGGGTGGTGTGGGACAGGAAAAGCGGAAACAGCATGGGTACGGGCATGAGCACAGGCATGAGCACGAGCGTGGGCGAGGGCGTGGGACTGACACTTGGCGCAGGCGGGGTGCACGCCGGCCTCCATCTGGTGCAGGGCGAAGAGCGTCTGTATGGTGCCGCGGAAGTAGTAGTCGCCGTTCACCGCTGGACCATCTGAAGGCCGCGGGGCACACACAAGACGGCACGGGACAGGCCGTTTGAATATGCGAGAAATCGCGGGTGCGAGAAAGCAGTGAGTATGAGGAGCGCACACAGGCAGTGGGCATTGTAGGGGTTGAGGGGGAGGGGCAATGGCACAGCAGGAATCCAAACAGCGGTTGAGCATAAGTGGTACGGTTTCCTGCAGCAGCAGCAGCCGCACGGCTCACCCAGGAAGACGAACCTCGCGTGCTCAGAACGTGTTGCAGGATGCCTCGGGTCACAGGGAGGCACGAGGAGCCTGGGAAATATGGAGGGGTGAGTGGAGGTGGGTGGAGTGGAGTGGCGGCTCACCGAGGAAGAACCCCGCGTCCATGATGCATTTGAAGGACGGCTGCAGTGGTGTGGGCAGCATGGCGGCCACGGAGTCGCACTTCATGGCCACGGCCACGGCGCCCGCACTGCACCCCGACAGCACCACCTGCTGCGCGCCCGCCATGCCGCGCTGCTGCAGCAGGTCTGCGCGGAGGGACGCGCGGGGAGGGCGCGGGGAGCGGGGTGGGGGGTGTATGCGATGGTGATGGGCGATGGGCGATGAGGGGTGGAGAGTGGAGAGCATTAAGTGGTGAGTGCGACGATGCAATGGCGACAAGAGTCATGTGGGGGCACCTCATGGGCATTACTGCTTCCCATGCGCTCTACCAGCAGTGCGCGTGAGCATGGGATGACATGGCGTGGTATGGAATCGCATGTATGCGTGCACTCATGCACCATCATCAGGCAGCAGCGCACCTTGGATGACGGCTTTCAGGATGCCCGCGCCCATGGCGTACATGGCGGCGCCGCCGCGCTTCACGGCGCCAGCGCTGCCGGCGAAGCTGGCGCCGTCGCAGTACTTGACGAGCACGACGTTCCAGTTGTAGAACAGCGGATTTACCGTCGCGTTCGCGCTCCCGATGCCGCCCATCAGCGCCGACGCTGATCCCTGCTCGTGCCGCATGGCGAGAGGGAGCAGGGGAAGAGAGAGTAGGGGGCGAGGGAGCAGGGGGGTTAGGTAGGAAAAGTGGACATTAAAGGTGCTTCAAAGAGAAGCAAAAGGATGGGGGGGGGGGGTTTCTGAGAACGAGGGTGTCAACCCGTGGAGAGAGGGGGTGGAGCAGCGGAGGAGGGAAAGAGTGTAACGGGCGGAGGGAAATGGATCGGTGGCATATGCCTGGATGCTATCGTGGATGGATGATGTCGTGGGCTAGTTGGTGGCACTACGAACGAGCGTGCGCTGACTCACCCCGGGCGACGCCGCTTTGCCAGGCTGGCCGGGCACGGGGTTGGGCCACGTGGTGCTGCTGCCCAGCCCCGTGACTTTCCGCCGCACGCACCGCTGCATGTTGAAGCACCACCCCCCGCCCTGCGCGCAGGCACAAGGCGGTTCGCACACGCGCGGCAAGGTTAGGAACGAAGCGGGCAGGCGCAACATGAATGGTGTGCGGTACGGAGAGGCGATCGGATGGGAGGAAGGGCCGGCGGGGACGGCAAGGGAAACGGAATCGCTTCCATAGGGGGAGACGGGTGGCAGAACGAGCATTGAAATGCGCGGCAGCGCAACCATCCAAGTGGCGCCGAGCGCTCCGAGCAGGTGGAGACATGTGAGCGCACACGATGCACGCCGGCAGTGGCGCGCAACACACAGCACACGAGCCGCCACGCTCTCCCCCTCCCCCCACCTAACGATACCTAAACCACGCGGAGGCCACTGCTCTGCACCGTGGTGCACCTTTCCCCACCCTCCCATCACTCGGCGCAATCGCCACCCTCTGTGAGTGGAAGTTGTTTCTTGGAGCTCTCGAGGAACTGTGATCCGTTGAAGGAAACCACGGGGAGGCTTCGATCCCTCGTGCCGAGGCCGCCCTCGCCCCGCCCTCACCTTGCCCTCCGCCCCGCCCTGTGCCCCACCCGCGCCCCGCCCTGCGCACACGCACCTCCAGAGTGATGAGCCACCGCTTGCTGCCCGTGCCGGTTCCGCGCTGATGGTAGTACCCGGCGGGGCTGGAGGCGGGGGAGGGGGGAAAGCGGGGTAGGGGGCGGGGAAGAAGGCGAGGTAAGGTCAAAGGCGATCGAGAGAGCGACACGTGCGTCTCTTTCGGCGCAAAAGCGGTTGCGCGCAACGGCCGTTTCGTAAGGACTTTTTGAGACGTTTCAAAGTGGGTGCTCGCGGCGGCGACGCGCGGCAGCTGCGTACCTGCCGTCGAGGCATCGCGGGGCAGTGCTGTTCGCAGTGCTCAACAACACCTTCACCGTATCCATGCTGTTCGCCTGCGTGCCGCCCACCCCGCGAGCCACCTTCCCGGTATCGCTCGACCCGCTCGATCCGCTCGACCCACTTCCCTTACTGCTCCCGCTACCCTTGCTGCTTCCGCTACTTCCGCTGTTTCCGCTGCTTCCGCTACTTCCGCTATTTGAGTTGCTTCCGCTACTTCCGCTTTTGGTGCTGCTTCCGCCACTCCGGCTGTTTCCGCTGCTTCCACTGCTGTCCGTCGCGGGCGACTTGTGGTGGCCTTTGTTGGGCGGATGGTGTCCGCCTTTTTCCCCGTGGTGCCCGCCACTGCTCGGCGGAGGGGACCCTTTCGCTATGCGCGTCTGCACTGTGGGGCTTGGGGAAGATGGCGGAGCCGGCGCAGTTGGCGGAGATGGGGGAGATGTAGGAGGGTTACCGGGAGGAGGCGGGGAATTGGATCTTTCAAGCGCGGGCGCCCGAAGCAGCTGCGCGGAAAGCTCAACGTCGCCAGGGCGCGCGTCGGACGGAGAACTAACTGAATTCTGTGGTGTTGCGCTGGGCTCCACATTGAACAGCGCGGCTTCGCTCTGCTCCGCCAGTTCGCGAGTGGGGACGGTTCGGCGGGCACTGGCGGTACGGCGCGTCACTCCCCATGCACGCACGACGTCCGCCGGGCCCGCGCCTACTGTTGGCGCTGCTAGGCGTCGCAGGGAGGTGCGTTGCGCATTGACGGGCGGAAGAAGTCGAAGGGATAAGGACTGGCGCGAGGGGTCGGCGATGTGGGCGGCACGTGCTAGGGTGATTGGAAAGGCCGATTTAAATGTGATTGCGGTGAGGAGAAAGAGGAAAGAGGCGGAAACCAACGCATGCTGTGTTGCGCGAGGGGGGGGAGAAGGACGCGGCTGTATTTGCGCAGCACACGTTCTTGTGCTCACAGCTTCTCTCCCCCACACAGCCGTTCGGAACGGCCGAGAAGTCCGGCCAGCACTAGGGGGCGGCATTACTTTAGTATCCCTAACGGGATATTCTTGCGATCGAGCTTGGAAACATCTGAGTGTCAACGAGTCTTCCTGGTAATGGCTGTGGTCTAACAACTGGGGCGGAGGGCACTGCAAACCACGACACCTGACGCTCCTATGACCAGTGGTGCTGCCAAGTCGATGCAACGTTTAACTGGGATTTGTATAGAATCCCTTTCAGCGATCGAGCACTGTTCTTGCATACAGAAAAGAGTGTGCTGACCAGTGCATCCGTAGTTATTAGTAGCAGTATTACATCTGCGAAACGCCAGGGTTGATATGCTGACTACTGAATTTTGCGACAAGGAATATGTGCGGCGTGGTTGAGAAGATTCAGTTCAGGTACCGCGAGCGGCAATGTGCAAATCATTCAACATCGCATGAGGGGGTCCAAAGTTGTTCATTGAAATCCAACCCTGACGCGCACAGCGATTCCTATCGCGGCACGGTTTATTGTGTGCGTGAAAAGCTGCACTGCCGGGAAATCGTCGCCCCCTACTGAATGGTCGCAGGTTTCGTCAAGCGTGCGGTCCGCAGGGGTCAGGCAGGTCGTCTGACCGGGAAAGCGAACCCTTACGACGACAGAGCTGTGGGCGACAAGCTGACACGATTGTCTCAAGGCTGCCCAAGTCGCACTCGCTCTCAACACAATTCAACTCGTATCTTGCCGCCACTTCAGCCTGGTCGGCGAGCTCGGGTTATCTCATACGATATACAACGCCCTCGTAGCAGTATTAAGTGGGAACATGAGAATTACAAGACTCATAAATCCCTGTTGTTATGTTTAGGTAGAGCACACATAACTGCAACAAGTTAATGCAGCGCTCCATGTAAAACTCAATAAATATACACATATCAAACTTGTAAACACTATTATATTATTTACCACAGAATTCGTATGAATGGATGCATATCTATAATACTTGTAGATAATAACCATTCGAATGCTGATAATATTTTATTTATTAGCACCCACATATTTATGCATTTATACAGAGATTTCTGGGAATCCTACATATGTTACAGCCATGCAATCGTCTCACGAATTTAGTTGACTTCGTATGGACTTATGAAACGTAAGTTACACAGCAGCTTTGGTCTATGAAAACTCATACTATGGAAAATGTATTATCGCGGATGGTCTTTGTATCCTGAATTTGTTTTGCGCGGTTGGGCTTTGCCGCCTAAAACATCCTCCTTCCGTTGTGGCGTCTGCGGTGCGCTGCCAGCAATTGCGAGTCACGATGTGCTGCTGTCACCTCCCCGCACCAATTTGGCATGTGCACATCAAACAGCCGCTAGCCCAACAGGACCCCAACCATTGATCTCCACAGCTGATGGACCTCCACCCAGCCATCACATGCCGTTGCGTAGGCAGCAACTCAACCACGGGTCCGAGATGGCGACTGCGCGAAAATTTGAACTCTATTCATTTAGCCACCCACTCGTAGTAGGCGTTATTTGACGAATCCTTATGTGGTGTTAGTGTTTGTGTGCAAACTCATGCTTCTGTCGTTGAATTGATTAGTTTAGATTCGCAGCGCCAGCGATGGCGGCCAAAGTGCTTCATCTCCTCGTTACAATTCCCCTGCTCCTCCTACTCGTCTCGGTTGCCTTTGCCGCCAACAATCCGTCCACCACAAGGGCTGTTGCCAGACGCGGCAGCAATCGTACGGCAGCTCCGCGCCGCTCCCCACCGGTGCCGCCCGCGGGAAGCGCGGCGGGCCGATCGAAGCAGCGGGGAAGCACGGCGCGCACGCCCGCTCCTCCCACGAGGAAGCGCACAACCCCGTCGACAGGCACTCCGACGCGGAGCCCCGTAGCGGTCAAGGGAGGGCGCAAGGTGCGCGTTCCGCGGGCTGGTACGACAGCACCGAGCAGCAGCCTGAGCTTGATCAAGCTGCCCAATAACCGCTACAACGCCAAGTGCCTAGATGGCAGGTGGGCCAGGCGGCGCGACAGCACTTGAGCTTCCACCATGTGGCTTGCTTCCTGGTAGAAGCCTCAGCCCAGTTTTTCCACGCGGTGTCTTCTTACAGCTCTAACAATATCGTCACGCGGCTAAAGCTACCGCTCGCACATCCTAAGCGCCAGCCAAGCAATTCCTTTAGCACCACTACTTGTCCTCGTCTTCGCTTCTACCGTCCTCGCTTCACCTTCCAATTCCCCTCCCTAAATCCTTCCCCTCACGCCTCCCCCTGCTTTTCCACCCAATCAGTCCGCCCACGTATTACCTGCGCACGGGGTACGGTTCGGGCGCCAGCTCGTGGGTGATCTACCTGCAGGGCGGCGGCTGGTGCACGTCCGTCACCGCATGCGCGGCGCGCGCAAAGACGGTGCTCGGCAGCTCCAACTTTTACCCGCCGCCGTCCGATCCCAACTTCGACAAGACCGTAAGTTCCCGCTGGATGGACTCCTTGCGCCTCGCAACGGTTGTGATTGCATTCTCCTCACCCGTTCCGCATCCTCCTCCTCATCTTCTGCAATCCTCCCGCTGCCCACCTTCTCCGCACCTTCCCCTTCCGAAACCCCCTCGCCCCCCTCCCCGCGCACGCCCCGCAACCCCAACCCCATCCCCTACTCCCCGGTGCGTGCGCAGATGCGCGACTACGGCAACGCGTTCACGGGCATTCTGAGCAACAGCTCCACGGAGAACCCCGACTTCTACAACTGGAACCTCGCCATGGTCGTCTACTGCGACGGCGGCGGCTTCGCCGGCACGCGCCGTCAGTACGACATGCCGACCGGCGGGTCCATCTACCTGGACGGCGCGCGGGTGTTCAAGTCCGTGCTGGAAGGTGCGACGCCGCGCAGGCTGGGCTGTGATAGAGGGGAAGGGCGGAGCGATGGGCGCGTTGCTCACTCAGGGGCGGAGCGACGGATTTGACTTAGAAAGCATGAGCATGAGTAGCTCGTAGTTTTCTGGTATCCCTCTGCTGCTCCGTTGTTCCTTTCCACATTGCTCAACTCCCCCTCCTGCGTCCCACCTCCCGCGCACTCCCCGTTCCCCTCTCCCTCCCCGTCTCTCCGCGCAGACCTGTACGAGCGCGGGTTGCTGCAGGCGCGCAAGGTGCTGTTCACCGGGTGCTCGGCGGGCGCGCAGGCTGTGTCGTCGATGTGCGACCGCGTGGCGACGTACTTGCCGCCGGGATCCGTCAAGTGCATGATGGATGCGGGCTTTTTCCTCGGTGAGAATCTACTTTACTCCATCCGGGATATAACGCATCATTCAGGCAGGCACTCGGATCGTGTGTGAGTCTGCTCGATTGTTTCCTCCTTCCTTGCCGTCCCCCTCCATCCTCTCACTCTTCCATGATCCCACGGACCCTCTCCCCGACGTCCCCCCTCAATCCTTTACCCTCTCAATTCCCCCCGCCCCTTTCCACCCCCGCCACACCCCCGCATGTGCATGCGCGCGCAGACGGGTGGGACGTGACGGGGCGCATGTACTTCCGCGACCTGTCCATGCGCTTCACGGAGCTGCACCGCCCCGCTGTCGAGCAGGGCTGCGGCGATGGTGAGATAAGGGACGAGCGCAGGGCACAAGGGGTGTGCATTGTTTGTTAGGAAGAGAGAATACGAGTGAAATAAAGCGCAGGGCATAAGGGGTATACGAGTGAAATAAAGCGCAGGGCACAAGGGGTGTGCATTGTTTGTTAGGAAGTGAGATAAAATCTTGCTTGTTACCCTTGCCACCAGCCATATTGTGCTAGTGCCTCGCCTCTCACCACCTCCCCCACAAATCCTTCTCCCGCATCCCCCGCCACCTTCCCAACCTCCTCCCTCGTGCCGTGCGCGTGTGCAGCGTACACGGGGTCAACGGAGTACTGGCGGTGCTTCTTCCCACAGTACAACGTGGAGTTCATCGACACTCCGCTCTACATCGTCAACTCCATCAACGACTATGCCGCCATCGAGATCCTCAACTACGCGCAGAACACCTCCAACAACATCCTCAAGTGCCTTGCTGAGCTCGCTCCCAACGGCGGCAGCGGCGGCTACGTGCCGCGGGCCACACGCAACCTGCTGGCCAGCGCAGGGGTGGGAGCAAGGGGGGGGGGGCGTACTAGCAGGAGCAGTGCCGGCAGTAGGCCGGCGGCAAGCAACTCGTCGTGCACGGTACAGGCCCAGGCGGCGCTTAGGAGTTACTCCACGCGCATGCTCAAGCGCATTCAGAGCCTTGTGAGGCGACGGCCGCAGCTGGGAAGCTACTTGCTGGGGGCCAGTGCCCACTGCACCACCATCTACCCCACGTGGAGCAGCATTAACCGCAAGGGAGTGTTCCTTAGACAGGCAATCTCCGACTGGTACTTCAAAGGCGTCTATGGAGTCACTGGCGCCTCTAACAGTAAAGGCTAGGAAATACTGGCTGCTGATCATAGAACGTAAGTCGCAGACCAGCACAATATGTGCCTTTCAGGTAGATACCCTTTAGCTGCCTTAGGAGTTTTTATGTAACCGATAACCTGACAGGCTGTACCATTGGGCTGGGCGCCTCCCCATATGCATATAATGGAATACACACACACTCACTCGATGACATGGAATTCTCAACCGTCCCCCATGAATGCGGAGCCATGTCTCTGAAATAGAATGCAACAGAATGATTGAACTAGAGAAGCAAGGGATACAAATACTGTAGCAACCCTAAAAGTGTTGTACTCCCTAGAGTGCTATTCACTGTAGCCTAAGAACCTATGATAACATTTCACATACCCCCATAGGCTGAGGTGTCAGAGGTCCACTGGTGATCTTCGATTGATACTAGGGAAGGGTTACAGGCTCGTTGTCTTGGGAGGTTATGGGCGCACTGATCCGCTACTTAACAAGCCCTTTTATCCCAATGGTCTAGTGGTTGGGATTTTGACATGGTATCAGAGCGAAGGTCTTGGGTTCGAATCCCAGTGTGTGCACTTCGGGCATCCCAGTGCGGGGGGGGTGTCAGAGGTCCAATGGTGATCCTCGATTGATCATAAGGAAGGATTACAGGCTCGTTGTCCTGGCGGGGTTATATGGGCGCACTAATCCGCTACTTAACAAGCATTTTTATCCAAATGGTCTAGTGGTTGACATTCTGACATGAGGGGCATAAAAAATGCAAGACCAGTCAATGCAAGGTGAACAAACGGTCACAAGACCAGCCAATGCAAGAAGCAAAGCAAGCTCATGGTGGATCTCGAGGACACGACACAAATTCCGAGCATAAGCAAGCGGCCACAAGGCCAGTTCAAGAGTTCACTAAGATATGTATAGCAAAGCACAACAAGCAGAGCAAACCAGAAGTCTACAGCAACCGAGGGCCTACCTCAACAAGCCCCAACTGCACACAGAACCTGTGGTGGTCACCAGGCGCCAAGGCCTTGGTGAAGACGTCGGCAGTGTTGGTCTCTAAGGCCACAAAGTCCAAGCGTGCATGGCCGCGTCGCTGCAACTCTCGCAGGAGGAAGTACCTCACGTCAATATGCTTCACTCTGCTCTCCAGTCGAGACTCTCGACACAGGAGGGTCATGGCCTTGTTGTCAGCGTACAAGGTCGGTGCAGAGCGAGGCCGCTCACCAAGGTCGGCGAGCAAGAAGGTCAACCAGCGCAGCTCCTGTGCCGCCATGGCACCAGCGTAGATCTCTGCCTCTGCACTGGACGAAGCCACAGACGACGACCGCGTAGACCTCCACGACACTGCACCAGCACCCATACTGAAGCAGTTGTTGAGATAGGTAGGAAGGAATGAGATAGATTAGGGCAAGGAGGGGGATACAGTGAAGTGTCGAGCAACTTACTGTACCCCCTAAGCCTAAACCCACTATAGCCTAGATAGCAGTAAACATATAATTTGACACACCCCCATAGGCGAAGTGGGGGATAGCAAACACAACAAGCGGTCACAAGACCAGTCAAGAGAAGAAACAAAGCAAAGCAAGCTCAAGGTAGATCTCAAGATCACCACGCACTCTGAGCACTAGCAAGCGGCCACAAGGCCAGTTCACATGCAGTTTTATAATAAAGCAAGCAGTACAATGATTACAACCCAGCAACCAGAAACATGCAGGTTTATATATCAAAGTACAAGACAAGGTCAAGAGACAAGCAGTGTTGGCTCGTGTGGCCACGTACAAAGGCGAAGCTGGGAACGCTGCTGCAACACTCGCACAGCTAAGGAACGAAGTGCATGTGCTATGTTCTGCTCGTTAGTTTGACCAGGTAGCGCAGCACCCTCCTAGCAGCCCGCCAATGCGCAGGGTGGTGTCTCCCGGGCGCAACGTAGCGAGTCCGGATGCTGAGAGGGTACGGCAGGTACTCCAGCTCGAACTACCTGTCCTCAAGGACGTTACAGCCAAGGGCAAGCTCACCCCCCACGGACGGAGGACACGAAGAGGCAAAAACGAGACCAGCAAGGTAGGCACGGTGGCAAGTAGCGGCAAATCCAGCGAGCTCAGCTACTAAGGCACAAGCAGCAGCAGGCGAAGAAGCAGGTGCAGTCACAAGCGCGGCTAGACAACAAGGGATAGTCGAGCGAGCAGCACGAGCAAGGTCAGACACGTGGTCAGGAACAGCAGGAAGAGAAGACGGGGGAGGTAACGGCAGGACAACATGCTCCCGGGTAACACGAGAGGGAGCAGGGGAGGCGGCACAAGACACAGGCTCCCGACACCCAGTCAGGGAGACGGACAATGGGACGTATCAAGCAGAAGCAGGCAGTGGGGATTCAGGCGGCGGAAACAATAGAGGAGGAGGAGTACAGGTGGGCGTCGGCTCAGGTAGCGACGACGACGGCTGCTCCAATAAGATAGGCCGCCGCGGCAGCGACTGCAACGCACCCCCAGACCCAGCACCTCCAGCACCAGCACCTCCAGCGCCAGTACCTCCAACTCCACCAACAAGAGGACTCCTAGCACCCCTAGAGGCAGCACCCCCAGAACCAGCACCCCCAGCGTCACCACCCCCAACAACACATGGGCCCCCAAAGTCCGCAACGACAGGCTGCAGAGGAGGCAAAGACGTCAGAGGCGGAAAACCCGGAGGTGTCTCCAAGCGCGGCGAGCGGCGAGAGGTTGCTGTGTCGGCAGCAATAGGGTCACCCCCCTCAGTCGAGCCAGAGGAGGCAGACGGGACTACGAGACACGAAAGAACAGTGGAGGGGTGCGCATAGACTGTGCTAGTAGGCACACAAGCCGCGACACACGAAGGCTCTAACTCCTGGTGCCCGCCCCCGCCACTCCCACCAACTCCACTATGACCACCCTCGTTAGCTACAGTGATGAGGTCTGACAGCGCAGGGAAGGTAAGAGGCAGCGCAAGACAGCCTAGGACTGCAGGAGGGGGGGGGGGGAGTAGCGCCTAACCACAGCGGAATACATAGCATGGGCCGACGGCACCTGGCGAAAGTTGGCTCTCTGGTCGAACGAGAGGTGAAGGCAGACTGCAAGTGTGGCGGCGGCGTCTCGCGCCATCCACCGCTTGTAGGCAATGTGAGCTACGCGGAACTGCGTCCGCACCTCCTCCTTAGCGTCAGCAGCAGGCTCAGCAGGAGCCTTGAGGTACGTGTGCTCGAACAGTGAGACGTCGTCGCGAGTGACACTATGGAGGTACACGTGCAGCCCCTCTAGCCAAGAGTCAAACCCTAGAGGGTGCCCCACTGTGTCAAAGGCTAGAACAGTGGGAGTCGCCATAGCAGCAGGAACGACAGCAAGCAGCAGGAGCGGCAGTTACGGTAGCAGCGGCAGCACATGTGGCAGCAGCAGCAGCATCGCAGGTGGCAGCTGCAGCTTAGACGGCAGCAGCAGCCTAGCAGCAGCAGCAGCAGCAGCGCAGGTAGGAGCAGCAGCTTAGCACCAGCACCAGCGCAGCAGCAGCAGCACAGGTGGCAGTAGCAGCGGAGGCGGCAGCAGCAGCAGCCTAGCAACAGCAGTAGCGCAGCAATAGCAGCACAGGTGGCAGCAGCAGCTGAGCAACAGCAGCACAGGTGGCAGCAACAACGCAGGCGGCATTAGCAGCTCAGGCGGCAGCAACAGCCTAGCAGCAGAAGCAGCCTAGCAGCAGCAGCAGCAGCAGCACAGACGGGAGCAGCAGCTTAGCAGCAGCACCAGCACAGGTGGCAGCAGCATCGCAAGCGGCAGCAGCAGCTCAGGCGGAAGCAGCAGCCTAGGAGCAGCAGCAGCTGAGCAGTAGCAGCACCGCAGCAGTAGCAGCAGCGCAGGCGGCAGCAGCAGCAGCAGCAGCACAGGTGGCAGCAGCAGCAGCGCAGCAGTAGCAGCACAGGTGGCAGCAGCAGCGCAGGCGGCAGCAGCAGCGCAGGCAGCAGCAGCAGCGCAGGCGGCAGCAGCAGCTCAGGCGGCAACAGCAACCTAGCAGTAGCAGCTGAGCAGCAGCAGTAGCAGCGCAGCAGTAGCAGCGCAGCAGTAGCAGCATAGGTGGCAGCAGCAGCGCAGGCGGCATCAGCAACTCAGGTGGCAGCAGCAGCCTACCAACAGCAACAGCCTAGTGGCAGCAGCAGTAGTCGGCAGCAGCAGCGCAGCAGCCCACGGCAGGGCAGGGCATGCTCGAGGCAAGCGGCAGCAGTAGCTTAGCATCAGCTGCACCGCAGGCAAGGTGCGCGCAGGCAGCGCAGACCGTGTGCGGGCAGCGCACTGGCTGTGCACAGCAGCTGGCAGGGCACTGGCAGCGGGTGCACGGGCAGGGCAGCGCGCGCGCTGCAGGGCAGGGCGTTGCGCGGGCTGCAGGGCAGGGCAGCGCGCGGGATGCTGGGTAGGGGTGGGCTAGCGCTAGTACGGGTCGCTGGCAGGGTGCAGGGCAGGCGCTCGCGGGCGGCGCAGGGCAGCGCGTAGGGCAGGGCGGGCTAGCGCGGGTGCGGGTTGCTGGCAGAGCGCAGGGCAGGCGCTCGCGGGCAGTGCAGGGCAGCGCGTAGGGCAGGGCAGGACTAGCGCGGGTGCGGGTCGCTGGCAGAGCGTAGGGCATGCGCTCGCGGGCGGCGCAGGACAGCGCGTAGGGCAGGGCAGGACAGCCGCGCGCGGGCGGGGCAGGGCAGCGCATGGGTAGCGTTTGCAGGGCAGGCGCGCGCTGGAAGGGCAGGAAAATCAACGCGCCTACGGGCGCGATACGGGCAGAAATTCGTCGTGCCTAAGGTCGCGATTCGGGCAGGAAAACCGTCGCTTCTAGGGGCGCGATTTGGGCAGGAAAACCGACGTGCCTAGGGGCGCGATTCGGGCATAAAATCGGCGTGCCTAAGGTCGCGATTCAGGCAGGATAAAAAAGTGACGCGCCTAGAGGCGCGATTCGGGCAGGAAATCGAAGACTTAACGGTGGGCCCTTTTAAAAATCTGGTCCTAAGGACCTAATGGCTTTGATACCATGTTGAGATAGGT